GAAAGAAGAAAGAAGAAAGAAAGAAAGAAAGAAAGAAAGAAAGAAAGAAAGAAAGAAAGAAGGAAGGAAAGAAAGAGGGAGGGAAGATTGGCCACAGCAATGTGTGGCAGATACAGCTAGGGTATCATAAAATACATCCTGTTAATGCAGAAATACAACAAAAGACAAGGAAAACAAATACTAACCTCAACTCTTGTTTCTTCTCCAGGACGGATATAAGAGAGGCGTTTCTCCCTAGCACCTTTTGCCATAGCCTTTAGATTGGGTTGCTATGAGTTTTCCAGGCTCCATGGCCATGTTCCAGAAGCATTCTCTCCTGACGTTTCACCCACATCTATGGCAGGCATCCTCAGAGGTTGTGAGGTCTGTTGGAAACTAGGCAAGTGAGGTTTATATATCTGTGGAATAATGCCCAGGGTGGGAGAAAGAACTCTTGTCTATTGGAGGCAAGTGTGAATGTTGCAATTGGCCACCTTGATTCGCAGCGAATGGCTTTGCAACTTCAAAGCCTGGCTGCTTCCTCATTTGCCTACTTTCCAACAGACCTCACAACCTCTGAGGATGCCTGCCATAAATGTGGGTGAAATGTCAGGCGAGAATGCTTCTGGAACATGAGCCTGAGCCTGGAAAACTCACAGCAACCCAATTCTGGCCATGAAAGTCTTCGACAAAACACCCTTGAGATTACTTATTAGAGTATATGTTTATAACGAGACTCAGTTCTGACAACAATAACATGTAGCACTTCAATAAAGTACTATTTTCAAGTTGGACTTATTTTTGAAGACAAAGTAGGTCTGCAGCTGACACACAGGAAATGTCTCACCATGGTACTGTAATCAATCGACGTACTCTCGTGTTGAATCCCATCAAACTGTTTTATATTTCTTCCTGTTCATTGGCAGCAAAATTACAAAGGTTTGGATGTGGAATATTTGAGCTGCGACTTGTTAAGTTTTGTTTCTTTACCCTTTAATGCTCACTCTGAAACCACTCTTCCTTATTTCACCTTAATTGTCCACTTTCTTCTTTTTTATTTACTTGATCTGAAATTGCCACTGCCTCCCTTTCTCCTTTATTTTGCATTGAAAAGTGGCAGGAAAAGGGGGTCCCTGACCCTTTCTACTCGCATCTGCCAGTTCTCTTCAAAGGAAGTGATATTCCATATCCTCCTTCCTCTCTTTCATCACTTTCCAGCACAATAATAAAGGGACATATCCTACCAGAAATCACATATCCGAGCAGGTAGCAATGGACATGTATATTTGAAAAATGGTGACACTTGCTACCCTGGCAACCTGTCCACCCCCTTCCTTGATGCCAATCTAGATGGTGCACATGTAGAAAAACACAGTGACGGAATGGGGTTTCCTGTCAACTGTAGAGCAGGAAATGAGTTCTCGTATATCTCATTAAAGCCTAAAATAAGTTATTTTGCTAAAGTACCAGGATCAAGTCAGCAAGGAGGCAAGTTATGTTAATCCCACAAACGAACATTATATTTTTTTATATATATAGTCTGATGTATTCATATTTTTTACACTTTTTCATTATGTGCATGTTTGAAAAGTTTTCACTGCGAACCCATTCTTGTTATGTGCCTTCAGATAATCTCTGATCATGAATCATAGCAATTCTGTCATAGTGTTGTGTTAGCAAGATTTATTCCAGGCAGGTTTTCCATTGCCTTCCTCTTGGCTAGGAGAATGTGACTTGCCCTGTTTCACCCAGTAAGTTTCCATGGCTAAGTAGGAAATCATACCCTGGTCTCTCAGAAGCCTAGTTTAACAGTCAAGCCATTTCATCCTGTTGGCTCTACAAGAGACTTCTCCTAAAAACACTCTCCCTTTCAAGTGCTTTACTGAGAAAGGATTATTCCTCATGGTTCACATGATAAAGCAGAGAAAAGTACATTGTTTTACTCGTCAATAGCCTTGTAGGGCCAAACAAGATCTATGTGTGTGCATCTGTGAAAGGAGAAGCTGGCAAACCTGGTTAGAGTCACCCAAACACAACTCAAGTTATGCTGTGAAGAGAGGACTATGAGGGAGAAAAGATAAATTGCTGAGGCTCATTTCACAGAAGGCAGAAAGGGGAAAGATGGCAAAGAGAGAAAAGCTGTAATACAGATAAGACAGTAAATCAGAATGGAATAGTTTTTGGAAACTGTGAAGAGTCCATGGGTTAGTATGCGATCTACATCTATATAAATAAAAATGTAATGTTCATTTGTGGGATTAACATAACTCAAAAACCACTGAGATTATAAGGTTAATCTCAAAAAGGATTAATATGTAAAAGAAAACAATCCTCATGGTGGTGGGAACTATAAATGTTGTGTATGTATTAAAATAAACATATATAATAAAAAAATAAAGTTAAAAAAAACCACTGGACGAATTGACACGAAATTTGGAAACAATATACCTAACAGTCCAACGGGTGTCCATCACCCATAAACACACACACAAACACACACACAAAACCCCAGCGGAAAAGACTTTAAAACCCCCAAAATACACCATATATACATATACACAGACACACATATACATATGCACATGCACACATTCATACACACATACGTATATATATGCACAAACACATACAAATATACACACATACATACACACATACTTATACACATGTACATATACATGCACACATACACATATACATGTACACATGCACACACATATACATATCCACATACATATATACACACAAATATGTATATAGACAAGCACACACATATACACAATATGCATTTACACATATACACAAATATATACACCCATACACACACACACACACACACACACACACACACACACACACATATATATATGCAAACATACATATATACACACACATATATACACACACAAAACACATATACACAGACTGGGCCACAGCAACACGTAGCAGGGGACGGCTAGTTAATATTAATAAACTTCTTATTGTCTTCTTCTTAGGCGATCCCTCGTTGTCCAAGTATGAGGGCCTTCCAAGTTCTTGAGTTTGTTTTATTTGCTGTGTGGAGGTCGCTGCACTGCCGATTAACACACCGTCTTTACAGAGTGAGGATTCCAGCCAGTGGCGTGGTTAACACGACAACAGAGACTTCTCAATCTGTCGCAGCCTTCTTCCGCCTGCACTGCCTGATCTGCCATTGAGGTCTTCAGATTATGCTTGGTCTGGAACCTCCCCTGCCTCCCCCCCCCCCCAGGGGGAGTGCATGACTCTGGTGGTCACGCAGGTTCATTGCAACACACAAGCCCCCTCACCACAACAAGGTGACAATCCATCTGCTTGTGTATTACTGGCTGTTCCTGTTAAGTTTTGACAGTCTGGCCATGCAAAAGCTGTGTATATAGACAGATGCTGTGACAACTGAGAAGACTTGCTAGTAGTACCATCATGCATATTGGATTTCATTAAACCAATTGCTCTGTTTGCAATAATTATGTATGATTCTGTGTGTGTTATGTATTGGAGATTCAATTTTACTTAAGATATTGGAAATGGTCACTGTATGGAGCCAACCATTTCCTAAACCTTTATAGTGAAATGTGTATATGTCAAAAGGAGAGTGGGTTAGAAAAATCATATATGATAACTTTTGACTATTTGGTTCTGAAAATAGCGGCGTAGCAAAAGGCATTTTGACTCAGCCTTCCAATTCCTTTTGAGCAGAGACTCTATATCAGACATCTTTTCAGACCTGAAAGTATTAAAAACTCTGTTCTTGCAGCCTTCAAACTCATCCCTCACCTTTGACGGGTAGCTGAATTTCAGCTTGAAGAGGTCCTCATTGGATCACTTCAAGCCAGCTGTTAAAGATCCAGGCTCTGCTCCTGGAACACCCTCAGATTGCAATCATTCACACTGAATACTGGAACCCATCAACCTATTTACCAGACCAGTCGTTTCTAATTCATGGGGGTAAAGTACACATTTAAAAAACCCACTGCTTTTCAAAATATAAACTTGAGAATTTTTTAAAAATTACCTTAAACCTCTCAGACATCAAAAAGAAGAGTTTTCACCTTATGGAGTTGTGTGTTTCAATAGGGCTGTAATTGAAGTAAAGACACATTATTTCGCCTGTGTAGACTCAGCCCTGATTATTTGGCAAAGCTGCTGAATGAGACACTGGCACAGTTACTCGACTGTTGTACAATTATCACTTCCTTCTTGCTAACTATATGGCAGCTACTAGAATTTGATCTCTACCAGAGTCTAACAATACACTTCCTAGAGTTTTCCTATCCTCAACTCCATTCAATGGGACAGGAAAATGTAACTTTTTAATTTTGATTGTCATAAATTGAGTATTCATACTATCCATGGACAGTAGTCAAAATGCCCCCCCCCCCCATCTTGACTATCATAATGTTTCTTTGTAATAAATAATATATGGTGATAATATCTCCAAATATATTTTATTTATTTAGTGCATTGACACTCTGCCCTGCAACCAATTCATAGTTTTCTGCATTTGGAATAAAAATAGAATAAAACAGAACACTCAAGGAAAAGGGGATGGCAGTAGGGCAGAGGGTTGAGTCCAGCAGATGTTGGCTGCTTTTCTCTCCCTCAAAAGCCACTGTTGAAATGGATGGTGAGCTTTTCAAAATCTCCTGAGACTAATACACAACAGAGCTGTGTCTGACTGTTCATTCTCTCAGAGGCCACAACAGAGACAGGGCTTCTTATAAACCCTTAGACCATTGCATGACAGAGTTGTGTTTGGCTGCTCTTTTCTTCCTCAGAGGCCACAAGAGTGGCAGTTGAGATGGAGGGCTTCCCATGAGGCACTGTGTCCAGAGCACGGCGGAGTTGTATCTGGCTGATCTTCTCTCCCTCAGAGGCCACAGCAATGGGCCATGAAACAGAAGGAGGGATTCTTGCCAACCACGGGTACAATGGAGTAAGGCATCTTTCCATAATGGGTAAAAGAGACCTTTCCTAAAAATTATGGATTGTTGACCACGTAGTTACAACAAAAAGCATTTATTTAACATTTGAATGATCTGTGTTTCCAAAAATAATATCCAAGGTACAAATCAAGGAGACTAAATATTTATATCATTGTAATCCACAACTGCCAATGTGTTAATTCAGGTTAGATGTCACAGACTTGTTGAAGTGCTGGCTGACCATGCTATATACTTCAATCTAACACTATACCTGGTTTTGACAGGTTTTAAGGATCTCATACAACAAACTCACACTTGTCTAGTGATTTCCAGTTCCTACAGAACTCAACCTTAAGATAGCAACATTTCATGTGATATACCAATAAATTCACTTATAAAACTTTTTCAAATTTTAAATAATTTTAATAAGACTAAGTGATTCTTATTCCTGTAAGTCTCATCTGAACTCTATTAAATATTCTGGGTAGATCTGGTTGGCATCAAAGATAACAAAAATCTTTGGGTTATAAACATTATCCACACAGCTGTCATATAAATTAATAAGGGTCCCATCTTTTGAAGGTGGTCTCACATATTTAGCCTGTCCAAGAATGTAGTCTCCAGTCAATACACGAGCAAGAAACATCATTTTATGCTTTGTAAAGATGTGAAGTTGCAGATCAACTCCGTTAATTTGTAATGTGGCACCATGCTTCAAGTCATCTTTGCAGAATCGGCTGGAGTATAAAGCATCCGTCGCAAAATAAGTCCCTGGAGATAAAGAGATATGTTTGAGCATAGTTGAAATATAAATTCATCTGATTTACCAATTATGTAGGATGGAAATACTTCCCAAAATGGCCATCCCATGTGAAGCCCCTTTGTTTTTCCTACAGACATGTACTAACAGTAGAAATAGACCAACACAACAGAGGACATAGTATGACATGTATTTCTTTATTCATGATAGTGGCTACCATATGATTCAGAGTAACTACATGCACATGGTATCGTCACATGTTTTATGCTTAAGAGACTTAAGAGAAACAGGACAAAAACTTCAGTTCTCTGTTCTTTATACATCTAATTTAAAACACAGAAGAACTAATGCCCAGTTGAGTTCCACAACCATCAACTTGCCAGATTTGTTGTGCTATGCTGAATTCACCAACTGATCACATAGACATAAAGAAACTGTTTGACTCTAGTTTTGTGATACCTTCACACTATATCCTTGAAAGAGACAGTCCTATGCAGAGCCCACTCCACATTTGTGGAACGGCAGTGAAGAATGAGCCAGAAAAGCTGGGCTATAGAACTACACAGGCACCCTGTCACCATAAACAGAGCCCCTCATGCATTCAAGAGTTCTTAAAATGTGAGGAAGCATTTATTTTATATATATATATAAAAAGGTGTGTTCAGTGGCAAACATCTGCAGTAGTCCTTGACCCAAGTGAGTGAAGAAGCCAATCATTCTATGGGAAATTACTGCATACATGAAAACTTTCAAACAGGTGAATTTACTGAATTTTTCTACCAAGACATGAACTGCTGCATTTTCCTCTGAATGGCCAGATGGCATTTCTTGATGAAAGTTCTCAAGAGATGAACTGGAACCTTAAGGAATGGAAACTTAGGAGTTGCACCCTGTATGCTAGACCTTTTTTTGGTATATGATTGGCTGATAAAGAGGAGTTAAAATAGGGATATTAAGGTGTGCCATAGAAGCTAATAATAATAATAATAATAATAATAATAATAATAATAATAATAATAATATAGATCTCATTTGCTGTGACATACTGTGTTTTTGTGTCACTAAAATAATAATAATAATAATAATAATAATAATAATAATAATAAGTGCAGACCTTGGCCTGCACTTAAACACAATCGGCGCTGACAAGATTACCATCTGCCAGCTGCAAAAGGCCACCTTACTGGGATCTGCATGCATTATTCGCCAATCCATCACACTGTCCTAGACACTTGGGAAGGGTCCGACGTGTGATCCAAAACAACAGCCAGCAGAATGATCTTGTCTGCTGTGGACTCATCTTGTGTTAATAATAATAATAATAATAATAATAATAATAATAATAATAATAATAATAAATGTATAGACCATCCTATCTCCCTGAAGGGACTCAGGGCGGTTTCCAACATGTACGGCAAACATTCAATACCAAAATTATAGTCATGGTCATGCATCTTCGGTGCAACTATCTTTGGCAAACATTTGATCTTTATTTTGTTTTATTTTCATCAAAAATGATTAGCCTTAATCAAACCAAAGGCCCAACAAGAGTGAACTAGTAACTGCAAAATTCACAAGCAGAGAACCCCAGAGACAGCCCACTGTCAATGTTAACCTTCACATCTGGTAATCAGAATTATACTCTCCCTGAATATAGATGCTATATATACAGCTTTTGTAGCAAATCTTTTCCAATTTTCTTTAGTTTCAGTGTGAAGTTTCCATTTTGGATTTTAATGTCCCTCATTTCTAACATCTTTAAATAGCCAATGCAGAGAGATTGTGGTAACCAATGTTCAAAAACATATTCCCACCACTGATGTTGACAGATTAACCATCAATAATCTGGTTTCCCTCTCTGATTGTTTCCCAGAACAGTGATGGCCCATTTCTTTCTTTCCCCATTCTGAACAGCCAGAAATGTGTAGACTACATTGACTTGAACTGCAGTGAGATAATGCCTGAGATATCATTCCCTTCAGAATTAGGAAGCACTTGGGATTTGCCATGGGCCCCATTTTAAGTATCAACAATTTGCTATAGCTCTGTGGAGGAGTCTATTAGTTTGCTTTTGACATTGGCTGAGGAACACTTCCTAATGAAAACAACATGTGATTGGGAATAAAGCATTTCACTGGGATGACATCTCCAAAACACATGATGTAGATCACACAAAGGATGCTTGCCTTTTCCATACACAGTAGCATGCATGCCATTGATTCTCCAGTCAAAGTTATGAATGCAAATAGCTTCCACAAATTCAGTGCTTGTGCCATGAAACAACATGTTTTCGTTTATAAAGGAAGTGCCTCTTTTCTTCTTTAATTGGGCCTTTTTTCTGTCAAAAAGATAGGATTGCAAACCGTTCATAAAGGAAATCAAATACTAGAATAAAGTAAATGACAAGGTTAGAAAACCATTTAGATATTGTTCCTGGACCATTCATGGTAAATACAAAAAACAACAACAACAACAACAACAACAACAACAACAACCCTGCACCTTCATCTGTTGCTCAATCATAGACAGCAGCATGAAGTACAAATAAAGCAATAAGATCCTCAGTGGTTTGTACCAGTTTAGGCAGCAAGAGGACTGTGAAGACCCCATAATAGGTTCAACCTTAAGGTCAACATAGGTTAAAAAAAGATGAAGGCACCCAGTAAAAATAACTATGATTCCATATACTTACGATAAAAATAATAATAATTTTCCATATCTTTTAAACATGCATTAGGGAGAGAAAGATGAACTAGGCATGATATCTGGCAGAGGAAGAATACTAAACAGGTATTTTAAGTCTGAAATTATACACACACACACACACACTATATGCTTTTAATGAGAGAAAAAATGGTTTAGAGACTCACCTGCAATAAAATTCCCACAAGTCTATGTTCTGAATCCTTTGAATTCGTCGAATCTGATTGATATCCATTGTTTTCCCAAAATAACTAGCAACTGCATTGTATTCATTTGTTCCCCTTTGCAAAGGAATAAGCTGAAAGAGAGAGGTCCACAAAGCTTTACAGAGATGCAATGGTCCTTTGCTTCCAATAAATGCAAATGTTCCTAGAAAAGTTTTACCTGATATGGTTCTTCTGAATTTACTTTCTCCCAGTGTGATGGCATAGGGATAGATTGATTTTCACAGATATAACTACCAACACAAAATAAGAAGGAAACTGTAACACTCATTTTTATATTTTCTTTCCCAACAGAGTAGAAAGACGAGATAGGAAGTGCACTAATAATGCTAATATTGTCTTAATTTTCTCACTTTATACATGTTTAAGCTAGATGTTGGGACGTCAATAAAACTGGATTGAAAACTATTTGATTTTTCAAAGTAAATATCAATGGCAAAGCACTGGCATGAGCTCCTCTCTTCTACCATGGGGATAATATGCTACACAGTCAAGAAGCCAAAGCATTTACTATTCACTTTTGAGACATTAGCTCACATCAGATATTATCTGGTTGGTGGGCTCAGGTCATCACTCCACTACAGAAATACACATCTTTGACTGTTTCTTCCAAGTGTGCAAGGATAAATGATTATAGTAACTTATAGACGACTATGAAGGAAAGTAAATATTGCTTTGCAGTAGCATCCCTGGATGTGAATACCCCAAAATGTTATGCAATAATTATCCTGTTCAGAAAAACATTTTGTGTGTAGTAGAAAAAGAGATTCCTGAAAAATATAGATTTCCTGCAGAGTAAATAGTGTTTTCTATACAAGAAACTAATTTCTGCTTTGCCTTTTTTAAAACGGGAAACTTACCTGAGCCTGCAGAATGCAGAATAATACAAATATAAACAATCACTTTGGTTCTCTATGCCTTGCTGAATTGGGACCTCAGGTTTATAGGCTTTAAAGCACACAAGGGCAAACTTCGGCCCTCCAGGTGTTTTACCGGTTGTTAGGAATTGTGGGAGTTGAAGTCCAAAACACCTGGAGGGCTGAAGTTTGCCCATGCTTACCTTAAGTTTTGCAACTCCCAGAATTCTTGACCATTGAACAAGCTGGCGAGGGCTTCTGGGAGTTGGAGGCTCAAATACCTAGAGGGCCGTAGGTTGAAAAGGTCTACTAGAGTGGTTCTCAACCTGGGGTCCCCAGATGTTTTTGGCCTACAACTCCCAAGAATCCCAGCCAGTTTACCAGCTGTTAGACTTTCTGGGAGTTGAAGGCCAAAAACATCTGGGGATCTCAGGATGAGAACCACTGGTCTACTAGGTAATGTATGTCCGTACAGTATGTGAGGGAGCCAATCAAGAACGATTTGGATTTTTGCGTGCTATTTGAAACTCTATTTTTCTTGCCTAAAATGAACGATGTTTTGTGCTTCCAGCTGAAGTGTACTATAGATTCATGCCAGACGATATACAGATGTCAAGAAAAGTGTTCTTTATCATGATTTGTGGTCAACTTCTGGTGAATCTTCCTGTGAAAGTTGACCATAGAATCACATGGAGACCTAACGAGAACATTTATCGTGACATGTCTGGTCCTCTGATGCAATTCTATGGGATTCAAAGCCCTTCACATATAAATTAAACTACATGCAAATAGCTGGTACACTAAATGTACATGTGATATATTAATCTTCCTTCAGTTTTCTCACGAGGCAGAAAAATGAAGAACTGGACAAAAGAGATCAATGTGGGTTTTGAAAAATACCATAACTCATTGCATAATAGGCACAACCACATAATAGTTTTGGGTCACAAAATTGGTATTTTTGTGTTCCTTGCATAATAGTCGTAAAGTGTGTTTGGGGCGGACTCTCCCTTCCTTTCTTCTTTCTCCAAAGGCAAGGCAGTTTAAAAAACCCGAAATAATGGAGGTCTCTGGAACCCTCCTTCCTCCAAAGAGTTCCATCTGGATAAAGAAGAAAAAAAAGGGGGGGGGGGAATCTTCTGTCCTCCTTTCTCTGAGGCAAGGCAGTTTTTAAAAAAAACAAAACAAAACAAAAATTGAGTAGTTTGAGGTTGTGTCATCCCTCCTCCTCCTCCTCCTCCTGTATTGGAGGTAGGACAGATTATTTTTAAAAGTGAAACCAGAGTATCAAAGGCAGATTTCTTTTCATGAACTAATATTTGCATCCCTTTTTGACAAAAAAGGGATAAAAAGTGTGATTCATGTGATGAAATATGGTAATTTATAACTGCGTCTCCATTGGTTGTAAGTTTTGGCAAGTCTCTGGTACATTTTTGGTATTTCCAGTTCTCTCTGAGAGATTAAATAAATAAAATTATGTTTCAAATCCCACATTAGGAAAACTAATATCACAAATTTGTTTTGTCTAATTCTTATTTTTTCTACTTGAACCCTTCACTAGTTTACATAATAAACAAGCATAAAGAAAATTGAAAACAAGGGAGTGGAGCTTGTGCTCTTATATAGCCTCACTCAACAGGGCTCAAGAAATGTTGTTTTTCAGTTATTTTTTATTTGTTATTATATAATGTTTTAATTTTTTTTTACATTTTTTACATTATTTTAAACACAGTTTTGCAAAAAATTTTAGCTTTATAAATTTAATCTACCCTACAATCAATTTGCTCTTCACCTTATTCTTTTTCACCCTACCTCATTGTCTTGCAAAATGGACCTCATATCTATATCATTGTTAGGTCACTGTACAATTAAATCTGAGAATGGATTGAAGCTAGACTATAAATGAAAGAAGGCTTATGAATTTCTTCAAATACATCTCTTTTGATTCCTCTTGCTAACCTAATTTTGTGTTTAATTTTTCTGTTGGTGTTATAGACAGCACTCCAACTAGCCATCACTGTATAGGAAAACCTACTGTGCTTATATTTTCCAAGATTTTCCAATGCCTAATCTTGTACTTTTTTGCATTTTATTACTTGTGGGGTGAAGGGGGAAAAGATCCATTAATAGTAGTATGGAAGGTCTCCACCACAAATAAATTGACAGAAAATGGCAACATATAACAAGGAATGCACTTTAATTCCTACCTGAAGGCACTAATTGAAAATGGAGCTCGCTTTATTGGGCGTTGTTTTCCAGTTGTTTGGTTAGTCTGCTTCATCTCTGTGTACAAAACTAAAGTAAGCCAAAATCTGGAAAATGGGCAGACAACATTCTTACTTATATCTTGTGTGGGGGAAAAAGGCAGGTGTGTCTTCATGTCTGTGATACGGACTATTTCTCAAATAGGAGAAATCAAGATAATACAATTTACTTATCTAGAAAAGGAGACTACAGCATCTTAATACTTTCTATAAATATCGTATGAATTCTCTGAAAATAAAAGAGGCATTTCCAATTGTTTCATTTACATCTGTCTGCAAAGAACAAGTTGCTACCAACGTTTTGCAAATAGGCCCTGTATACATATTTTACCACAAGACAGGTTTAAATGTATACAAAGAAATATACACATACCTGAAAAGTCTAGTATGTAGTTAAATTTTGAAGTTGCAAATGAAATGCAGCCTTGTGGATTCAATCTGAATTCCCTTTCAATGTCTTCGCTCCTAAGTGAACACTGGGTATTAGAACTGACCTTTAAAAAAACAGAAAGTACATTTTGAAATATTACAGGAATCAATGAAATGAAGTTTCTTGCATATCTTACTGCAGTGATCTGCACAAAAAATCTAAAAGTCAAGATTGTTACCTTATTCTCTATTATTCCTACATGGAATAGAGTGAATATTTAAGGTGATGTCATGAATGACTTTTCAATAACTTTGAAGCATAGGTTCTTTTTATTGCAAATTCCAGTGTGAGAGGGTGTGCACTCTGGGAGTCTTAGGTTTTGTGCAGGGAGTCAAGTTCTGCTGTATGGAAAATAGAGATCTGGTCCTTGGCATTGACCTTATGGAAATAAGTTTTGGCATTTCAGCGTTTTGAAGTTTTGGCGTTATGTAAGTTATGGAACTAGGTGTTGGCAGGCTGCAGGGAAGCGGGGTCTGGCTTAACAGGTACTTCTCCAAAGAGGGAGAAAAGGATATGGTAATATTTGAATGCCTGAGGATGAATGCGTGTACATGTGATGTGAATGTTGAGTGAAAATGTAATTCCCCTTTGTTTGTTTGTTTGCCATGTTTGCAAACCCAATGTAGTTGAATAGAATCTGTATGTCTGTATGTCCAATGTCATTCTTTGTCCAAATGTTTTTCTGTAATCTGATGTTTCTTCCTCTTCCCTTGAGAAAAAAGCCCCAAAGTGACCAGACTGCTCCCTTGCAAATCTGCCACTCTCCATACGTATGCTATCTCTCTCCTTCCCATGGAGCAGAGCATAGCGGGTGGAACAGCCTCCTCAATCTGCCACACTTTGAGCATTATTAGATTGAGTCTTTTATAGGAATATTCTGCTGATGTAGTCCCAGAGTTATAAATTAATGATAGATGTCTTCCATTCTGGCTCCATCTCAGTTTCCTGTCCAGATATTGATTCTTCTTGATTGATGTTGATCTTATGTTGACTTCCTTCTTAACGTTGTAAACATTTCTGTTATCACTGTCCCAATTTTTATCTGAGTTTACTTTTCAGCTCTTATTAGAAGGTTTTAACCACAGTCCAGAAAGCAGGGAGTTAGTCATTGCAGGCCTGGGTCTTTTACTGGTGTTTCCAAAATTATTAGCTCCATAAATCCTTCCATTCTTTCGTTCATTCCCACACATCATATTACTTCCACATTTATAAAATCTGCACATTAAATTTTTGTGAAAGTGACACCAAATGGCACTATACATCCTTTGATGTAGGCATTATATTCCTACTGGTGCAGTCCAGAATTGCAGGGGAGAACAGCTAAAACACTAGAGGACAAGATCAGAATTCAACATTGCTATGGACAAACTGATAGAGCTGAGACTAAAACTAACATAATGAATTTCAACAAGGATAAATGTAAGGTATTACACTTAAGCAGGAAAACAAAAGGCTGGATTGGTGACATCTGGTTTGGTAACAGTACATGTGAAAGGGATTTAGATGTCTTAGTAGACCACAAGATGAACATGAGTCAACAATGTGATGTGGCTGTCAAAAAGGCCAATGCAATTCCAGGCTGAATCAACAGTAATATAATGTCCACATCAAAGGATGTATAGTACCATTCCATTTAGCTTTGGTCAGATCTCAGTTGAAGTATTGTGTCCAGTTCTGGGCACCATAGTTCAAACAATGTTGACAAGCTGTCCAAAGGAGGGTGACAAAAATGGTAAAGGTTCTGGAAACTACGTCCTGTGATGAATGGCTTAGGGAACTGGGAATGTCTAGCTTGGAAAAGAGAAGATAGACAGATGATATGTTAGTCATTTTAAATTATTTAAAGTGATGTCATAGTAAAGATGGAACAAGTTGATTTTCAGCTGTCCTAGAGGCTAGAACAAAAACCAATAGATTCAAATTGCAAGAAAGGAGATGTCACCTAAACCTTAGGAAGAACATCCTGAGAATAAGAGCTGTCCCACTGTGGAATAGACTGTTTAAAAAAATAGTGGCGTCTCCTTCTCTGGATGTCCTTAATCAGATGCTGGATGATCAGTGGCTATATTATATGGCCCTAGCGTTCTGATTCTGTGAAACTAAACAGAAGGCACTGAAGCCAAGAGCTTTTTATTTGGCCAGGAATCCCTTGTGGATCCATAGTTTGGTTCACAGTACTAGAATAGGCAGCAATCCCTGCCTTCCAATTCTACAACACAGAACCACAAAATCTGCACATTTCTGCAAATAAAGTACATTGTATCCTTTGTATTTTTATTTGTTTCATTAGTGACAATGAGAATAGGTTGAAAATGAAACAAAGAAACATAAAAAGAGAAATTGATGGATGGATACAGTATGATCCCCCCTCCCCTCCCCTCCCCAATTCTGCAGGACTGATATCCATGGTTTCATTTACCCATGTCCAACAAATATATGTCTTCTCTCTGCATTTTCTAGGTTTTCCAACATAGCTCTATGGAACTTTTTGGGCCAGATGTCCAACTGCCTTCAAACTTGCAAAGCATCATTGTCTAGGGAGTCATGTTTTCTCGTGATATGGCTAAAGAATGACAGCCTGATTTTACTTGACACATTTATTTGTTGGGAGCTTCTTTTTTTAAGAAGGCTGGGGTATCTGTAAAGCTGCCCTGCAAAACCATATCTCAAATGAGTTGATTCTCTTCCTATCAGCCTTCTTAACTGCCCATAATTCCTAACCATCCATACAAGCTGGAAATACAAAAACATGGACAAACCTGACCATGATATTAAATGACAAATCTTCATATTTGAGTCTCTTTTTTAGCTCCTTTGTAAGCTGCCCTTCCAAGATGAGTCTTCTTCTAATTGCTTGACTGCAGTCTCTATGTTGATTAATGACTGAGCCACACTATAAGAAAATGTTGACTATAAGTGTCTACTTTGAAGTTATGTAAATCACCTGTGGTCATTATTTTAGCTTTCTTAATTTCCAGCTGTAAGCTTGCCTTTATACTTTCCTCCTTGATCGCCTTAACTAATTGTTCCAAGTTTCTGCTCTTCTCTGCTAGCAGTATAGTTACAGAGTTTACATTTTTGATATTCTACAGAGTTTACATTGTTGATGTTTCCTCCTCCAATTTCCACTCCTCCATCCTGAGTCTAATCCAGCACACATGTGATCCATTCAGGGTATAAATTAAACATGTAATAAAAGAAAAAAAATAGGATGGTAACATGCAGTCTTTTGTAAATTAGAAACCATTTCTTTCTCCATATTCTGCTGTCACAATAACCTCTTATCCCAAATACAGGTTATGCATCAGGAAAATCAAATGCTGTCGACACCAATTTCTTTAAAGGAAAGGGAGTTCACTCGTCTGTAAGTGTGCATATGATTGTAATCTCAGCCTCATCTCCTCACCAGTGAAACAGAAATATTAACCAACATGGAAATAACTGACCACACTTTAAGAGGACACTAAGCACAGTAGAATAAATGAGTACCTCAAACATATGCCATTTGCCACATTCAGCCAAATAAAACCATCCCCACTGGGTTTCTGATGTATCCATTTCTTCAAAGTGAGGTGCCACATTTTCAAAGGGTTCACCTTCTTGAGGCATTTCCTGAAGTAGTCAAAACAACAACATAACTACATTAAATTTTAGTTATGCAATACTTAACAACCTATAAACAACTTGAAAGGTGTAAAGTTAACATGCAGCCCTGGTGGTTTCTAATGTTGTTTCACAAATGGTATGTCCTGAGAGTGAGTTTTGTGTAGTGCTTTGGGTGTTCAAATGACCCTAACCCTTACCCCTAACCCTAACCCTTATCCTACCCCCCCCCCCTTTCTCTCTGGACCACGTGGTCCCTTCCCTTATTCACAACCGCTGTTGCGGAATGTGCACAATGCTCTGAGCTTCTGGACCCAACAATCATACTATCGCCAGAGATGCATTCAGACAGGTAATTTGGACCAGAGCCGTTTAAGTCTTTATAGGCTAAAGTCAGCACTTTGAATTGTGCTCAGTAGTAGACATCTCTGCACACACAATGACATCTTAGCTGTTTCTTTCCCTGTGTGTTCATTGGGATGACTCTCCACTCATTTGCTTTCTGTTTGTGGTAATTTAAAGGGTGGCTTTTGAGCAGATGGGCCTACCTGCATCAGCATTTAGAGGCACAGATCACTGTAACCAATGCCAAGTTCCGGGGTAAATAACCTCTAAAGGCTTGGTACAAAGATAGGCTAAAGCAGGGGTCCTCAAACTTTTTAAACAGAGGGCCAGGTCACAAACTCTCAAACTGTTGGAGGGCCGGATTATAATTTGAAAAGAACGTGAATGAATTTCTATGCACACTGCACATATATTATTTGTAGAGCAAAAACCACTTTAAAACAATACAATAATTAAAATGAAGAACAATTTTAACAAATATAAACTTACTAGTATTTCAATGGGAAGTGTGGGCCAGCTTTTGGCTGATGAAATAGGATTGTTGTTGTTGTTGTTGTTGTGTGCTTTCAAGTCGTTTCAGACTTAGGTTGAGCCTGAGTGAGGGTTGGGTAAATGACCTTGGAGGGCCGTATCTGGCCCCTGGGCCTTAGTTTGAGGACCCCTGGGCTAAAGGCTGCTAGGAATTGGGGGAGTTGAAGTCCCAAACACCTGGAGGGGCGAAGTTTGCCCATACTTGGATCTACACTGCAGAATGTATATAGTTTGACAACTGCCAGGGCTCAATGTGATGGGGTCCTGGGATTTGCAGCTTGTAAAACCACAACTGCAGCCAGGAATTCAGAAGACGCTTACTTCTTGGGAGGAGAGCAATGACCAATTGTGATAAAATAGTGAAGAGTAGAGACATCACACTGGCAACGAAGATCCGCATAGTTAAAGCAATGGTATTCCCCTGTAGTCACCTACGGATGTCAGAGCTGGACCATAGGGAAGGCTGAGCGAAGGAAGATAGATGCTTTTGAACTGTGGTGCTGGAGGAAAGTTCTGAGAGTGCCTTGGACAGCAAGAAGATCCAACTAGTCCATACTTCAGGAAATAAAGCCCGACTGCTCATTGGAGGGAAGGATATTAGAGGCAAAGATGAAGTATTTTGGCCACATCATGAGAAGAAAGGAAAGCTTAGAGAAGACGATGATGCTGGGGGAAATGGAAGGAAAAAGGAAGAGGGGCCGACCAAGGGCAAGATGGATGGATGGTATCCTTGAAGTGACTGGCTTAACCTTGAAGGAGCTGGGGGTAGTGACAGCCAACAGGGAGCTCTGGCTTGGGCTGGTCCATGAGGTCACGAAGAGTCAGAAGCAACTGAATGGACAACAACAACAACAACAACAACAACGATAGCTGGGTCTGGAAGCTCCGAGTGTTATGGAGATGCCACAAAGGCGGCTGTGAATAAGGGAAGAGTGGGGGCGAAGTGAGGAGAGCTAAGAAAGGATAGAAAGGAGGGGATGCTTAGGGTAAGGGTTAGGGCAAGGTTTAGGGTTAGGGTCACGGTTAGGATAAGGGGCTAGGGTACGGATTAGGGTAAGGGTAAAGGAAGGTTTAGGGTTTGGATTGGGTTGAAGTCCCAAGCACCTGGAGGGGCGAAGTTTGCCCATATTTGATCTACACTGCAGAATGAATACAGTTTGATATTATTAGGCAAAGCTGAAGTATTTTAGCCACATCATGAGAAGACAGGAAAGCTTAGAGAAGGCAATGATGCTGGGGAAAATGGAAGGAAAAAGGAAGAGGGGCCAACCAAGGACAAGATGGATGGATGGCATCCTTGAAGTGACTGGTTTGACCTTGAAGGAGCTAGGGGTGGCCACGGCCGACAGGGAGCTCTGGCATGGGCTGGCCCATGAGGTCAGGACGGGTGGGAAGCGACTGAACGAATGAACAACAAAACCACAACTCACTGGATCCCACAACATGGAGCCATGGCAGTGACAAGGTGATTCATACCTTCTCTAGGCCAGGCACAGCCAAAAACATTCACAAAGGCATCTTAGGTGATCAGGCCCTGCATCTTTCGTGATTTCATATATAATGTGACTTTCAAGAAAGGGAACGAGGAATAATGTCTTGCCGAAGGCTTTCATGGCTGGAATCACTGGGTTGTTGTAGGTTTTTTCGGGCTATATGGCCATGTTCTAGAGCAGTGGTTCTCAACCTGGGGTCCCCAGATGTTTTTGGCCTACAACTCCCAGAAATCCCAGCCAGTTTACCAGCTGTTAGGATTTCTGGGAGTTGAAGGCCAAAAACATCTGGGGACCCGAGGTTGAGAACCACTGTTCTAGAGGCATTCTCTCCTGACGTTTCGCCTGCATCTATGGGAAGCCTCCTCAGAGGTAGTGAGGTCTGTTGGGACTAGGAAAAAGGGGTTATATATCTGTGGAATGACCAAGGTAGGATAAAGAACTCTTGTCTGTGGGAGGCAGATGTGAATGTTTCAACTGACCACCTTGATTAGCATTTGATGGCCTGGCAGTGTCTGGGGCAATCTTTTGTTGAGAGGTGATTAGATGTCCTTGTTTGTTTCCTCTCTGTTGTTTTGCTGTTGTAATTTTAAAGTTTTTTTAATACTGACAGCCAGATTTTGTTCATTTTCATGGTTTCCTCCTTTCTGCTGAAATTGTCCACATGCTTGTGGATTTCAATGGCTTCTCTGTGTAGTCTGACACGGTGGTTGTTAGAGTGGTCCAGCATTTCTGTGTTCTTAAATAATATGCTGTGTCCAGGTTGGTTCATCAGGTGCTCTGCTATGGCTGACTTCTCTAGCTGAAGTAGCCTGCAGTGCCTTTCATGTTCCTTGATTCGTGTTTGGTAGTTTATATATCTGTGGAATGACCAGGGTGGGACAAAGGACGCTTGTCTGTTGGAGCTAGGTGTGACTGTTTCAACTGCCCACCTTGATTAGCATGTAATGGCCTGGCAGTGCCTGGGGCAATCTTTTGTTTAGAGGTGATTAATGTCCTTGTTTGTTTCCTCTCTGTTGTAATTTTAGAGTTTTTAATACGGGTAGCCAGGAATTTTTGTTACAGGGGACTTGGGCCCCTTGGCCTCCTTTCTGCTGCTCAGGGCAAACACTGAGGTTTGGCAGAAGCAGCGAAGCCGGGAAGCCTCAGCTCCCCAAGGCATTCTGGATCTGGCACCTGGTGTGACTAGAATTACGGGAAAAAATAGACCCTTGTCTGATCCCACAGCAAGCTGGCTTCAGAAAAGGCAAAAGCTGCACATCGCAAGTGTTGAACCTGACTCAGCACATAGAAGATGGTTTTGAAAGGCAGCAGATCACAGGAGCTGTCTTCATAGACCTGTCAGCAGCCTATGATACTGTGAACCACTGCCTCCTCATGTGAAAAATGTATAATATCACAAAGGACTACCACCTCACCCGCCTCATAGGAAACCTGCTACAAAACAGGAGCTTTTTTGTTGAATTCCAGGGCCAGAGAAGCAGATGGCGGAAACAGAAGAACGGCCTGCTCCATCAATGTTCAACATTTACACAAATGACCAGCCACTGCGAGAAGGGACAAAGAGTTTCATCTATGTTGATGATCGTGCCATTACTGCTCAAGCAGGGAGCTTTGAGATGGTAGAACAGAAGCTTTCTGAAGCTCTAGGTGCTCTCACTGCCTATTACAGGGAAAACCAGCTGATCCCCAACCCATCTAAAACACAGACATGTGCCTTTCATCTCAAGAACAGAGAAGCATCCCGAGCTCTGAAGATCACCTGGGAAGGAATCCCACTGGAGCATTGCAGCACACCCAAGTACCTGGGAGTCACTCTGGACCGTGCTCTTACCTACAAGAAGCACTGCCTGAACATCAAGCAAAAAGTGGGTGCTAAAAACAATATCATACGAAAGCTGACTGGCACAACCTGGGGATCACAACCAGATACAGTGAAGACATCTGCCCTTGCGCTGTGCTACTCTGCTGCTGAGTATCCATGCCCAGTGTGGAACACATCTCACCACGCTAAAACAGTGGATGTGGCTCTTTATGAGACATGCCTCATTATCACAGGGTGCCTGTGCCCTACACCACTGGAGAAATTACACTGCTTAGCTGGTATTGCACCACCTGACATCCGCCGGGAAGTAGCAGCCAATAGTGAAAGGACCAAGGCAGAGACATCTCCAGCTCATCCCTTGTTTGGGTATCAGCCAGCATGTCAACGACTTAAATCTAGAAATAGTTTTCTAAGATCTACAGAGACACTCGCTGAAACACCTCAGCAAGCGAGAGTCCAAAAGTGGCAGGCTCAAACCCAGAACCTCAATCAATGGCTGATACCAAATGAGAGACTCCCCCCTGGGCACACAGAGGACTGGGCGACTTGGAAGGCGCTGAACAGACTGCGCTCTGGCACCACGAGATGCAGAGCCAACCTTAAGAAATGGGGCTACAAAGTGGAATCCACGACATGCGAGTGCGGAGAAGAGCAAACCGCAGACCACCTGCTACAATGCAAGCTGAGCCCTGCCACTTGCACAATGGAGGACCTTCTTCCAGCAACACCAGAGGCTCTCCAAGTGACCAGATACTGGTCAAAGTACATTTAATCAACTACCAAACTCACAAGTTTTGTATTTTGTCTGTTTGTTTGCTTTGTTCTGTTAGAAATGTAATATAATGGACTGGTTGCCCTGACATGACAAATAAATACCTGCTGTGACAAGGCCCCGCCCACGACGGTCGCCCCGCCCTCCCTCCCTCCTCGGCCAGACTCCGCCCCCTCCGCGCGCTTCCTCTCCCTCCCTCACTCACCACATCCTCAGCGACGGGGGGAGCCGGCGTCCCCATCTCCCTCGCTTCGCCAGCCGGGCCTGGAAGGAAGGGGCAGGGGAAGGGGAGGGGGCAGGGCCTCGCCTGGGCGCCGCCCCCCACCTTGGGATCAGCCAGAGCCGCAAAGATGGCGGCGTGCTCCTGCTTCACGCTCTGCGGACTCACACCTTATTGGAATCTGTGAAGACGCCGTCGCTCAGGAAACGCTGACGTAGTGACGCTCTGATGCGGCTGTGCAATAGCAGCTCCCCTGAAACACGACCCATGTCTTCTGGAAACAATAGCGGGGAGCTAAACCAAAAAAGAAAGGGAAGAGTGCCGCCTCCGTGTGTACGTTGCGCGCGCGCGTGAAGGGCTCTCCAGGCCGCCTTCCCCCTCACGGCTTTCTTGACAAGAGGCCTCCAGGGAGTGACGTCACCGGTTGCCTCCTCTGCGAAATCCCAGCAGCGCGCGACGTCCGCGAGGCCAAAGCAGCAACAGGAAGGAAGGAAGAAAGGCAGGAAGGGGGCGGGGCCAGGAAGGGGGCGGGGTTCCGGAGCGGCTCCCTCACGCCGGGATGCGAGCAAGGCCCAGACATGGTCGTCTTCGGGTTAACAGTCGTGCGGCAGTGAGTATGCCTCGTTCCCGCCACCTTCACCTCCGAAACCGAGAAGGGGAAGACAGCCGGGGCCCATTCCCCACGGTTTCTGTGCTACCCAAAGCGGAAGCGAGGCCTTCCCAGGAAAGGAGGCTTTGCACCTGGCGCAAGGGAAAAGGAGCCACTCCTTGGGCTGCCCTTGGAGCGGCCCTTGCATGCTCTTGTAGGGGCAAAGTGTGCTGTCGCGCGCTGGGCCTGTGCATAAGACTGTAGACAGGACATAAATTCCGTGTGCCCAACGGGACGCCGGGGCTGCCTCAGATTAAAAGCCCTTGGATTTCCTAAAAACACAGTCTTTAGATTGCTTAAAGGTTCAACAATGTTCTTCTTGTTGTTCATTCGTTCAGTCATCTCCGACTCTTCGTGACCTCATGGACCAGCCCACGCCAGAACTCCTGTCGGCCATCACCACCCCCAGCTCCTTCAAGGTCAGTCCAGTCACTTCAAGGATGCCATCCATCCATCTTGCCCTTGGTTGGCCCCTCTTCCTTTTGCCTTCCACTTTCCCCAGCATCATTGTCTTCTCTAGGCTTTGCTGTCTCCTCATGATGTGGCCAAAGTACTTCAACTTTGTCTCTAGTATCCTTCCTTCCAGTGAGCAGCCGGGCTTTATTTCCTGGAGGATGGACTGGTTGGATCTTCTCGCAGTCCAAGGCACTCTCAGCACTTTCCTCCAGCACAACAGCTCAAAAGCATCTATCTTCCTTTGCTCAGCCTTTCCTAAGGTCCAGCTCTCACATCCGTAGGTGACTACAGGGAATACCATGGCTTTGACTAGGCGGATCTTTGTTCCCAGTGTGATGTCTCTACTCTTTACTATTTTATCGAGATTGGACATTGCTCTCCTCCCAAGAAGTAAGTGTCTTCTGATTTCCTGGCCACAGTCTGCATCTGCAGTAATCTTTGCACCTAGAAATACAAAGTCTGTCATGGCCTCCACATTTTCTCCCTCTATTTTCCAGTTGTCAATCATTCTTGTTGCCATAATCTTGGTTTTTTTGATATTTAACTGCAACCCGGCTTTTGCGCTTTCTTCTTTCACCTTGATTAGAAGGCTCCTCAGCTCCTCCTCGCTTTCGGCCATCAGAGTGGTGTCATCTGCATATCTGAGGTTGTTAATGTTTCTTCCAGCAAACAAGCATACAGGAATGCAATCAAAGAGTTTGTCGCCACCCCCATTTGGTAGGAAATGGAATATACATTTTCATTGCTTCCCAAAGACAAATCATTTCATTGGTCTAAGCTATACAGTTGTTCATTAGTTGTTTATGATTTTGATTAACACAGTCCATGCTTCAAGAAATAAAGCCTGACTGCTTATTGGAGGGAAGAATAGTAGAGGCCAAGATGAAGTACTTTGGCCACATTATGAGAAGAAAGGAAAGCTTAGAGCAAACTTTTAAAACAGAGGGCCAGGTCACGGTCCCTCAAACTGTTGGAGGGCCAGATTATAATTTGAAAAAAACATGAATTCTTATGCACACGGCACATGTCTTATTTGTAGTGCAAAAGACACTTAAAACAATACAATAATTAAAATGAACAATTTTAACAAATATAAATTTATTAGAATTTCAATGGGAATTGTGGGCCTACTTTTGGCTGATGCAATAGGATTATTGTTGTGTGCTTTCAAGTCATTTCAGACTTAGGTTGACCCTCGCGAGGGCCGGGTAAATGACCTTGGAGGGCCGCATCCGACCCCTGGGCCTTAGTTTGAGGACCCCTGGCTTAGAGTATGATGCTGGGGAAAATGAAAGGAAAAAGGAAGAGGGGGCGACCAAGAGCAAGATGGATGGATGGGATCCTTGAAGTGACTGGATTGACCTTGAAGGAGCTGGGGGTGGTGAAGACCGACAGGGAGCTCTGGTGTGAACTGGTCCATGAAGTCACGAAGAGCCTCTACTATCCTTCCCTCCAATGAGCAGTCAGGCTTTATTTCCTGAGGCATTAACTGGTTTGATCTTCTCGCAGTCCAAGGCACTCTCAGAACTTTCCTCCAGCACCGCAATTCAAAAGCATCTATCTTCCTTCGCTCAGTCTTCCCTATGGTCCAGCTCTCACATCCATAGGTGACTACGGGGAATACCATTGCTTTAACTATGTGGATCTTTGTTGCCAGTGTGATGTCTCTACTCTTCACTATTTTATTGAAATTGGTCATTGCTCTCCTTCCAATCAGTAAGCGTATTCTGATTTCCTGGCTGCAGTCTGCATCTGCACTAATCTTTGCGCCTAGAAATACAAACCTTGTCATGGCCTCCACATTTTCTCCCTCTTATTTGCCAGTTATCAATCAATCTGGTTGCCATAATCTTGGTCAGTTCTTACTGTTGTTACTTGGTTCTTATACAGATTTCTCAGGAGAGAGACAAGGTGATTTGGTATGCCCATACCACCAACAACTTGCCACAGTTTATTATGATCCACACAGTCAAAGGCTTTAGAATAGTCAATAAAACAGAAGTAGACATTTTTCTGAAACTCCATGCCTTTCTACATTATCCAGCGGATATTGGCAATTTCGGTTTGCATTTATATAATACAATAAATTGTATAGATACATACAATATATTATATTATTAGCATAGTACAATATCAGTATTATGTAATACTATATTGTACTATGACATTATATTGTAATATTAGTAATAGTACATGTAATATCAAATATATATATAATTATATATTATTAATAATATTATTATATTGTACTTCATTATAATATTATAAATATTATATGTATATACAATATATTATAGTACATTATATTATTAGCATAGCACAGGAGACAAGGTAGAACTGTCCCCTGCCCTCCCCCCCCCCGCCCCACTCTTCACTCTGGCCCACAGCGGCAGTTGTTGCTGGGGGGAGGGGTACCCCAACTGATGACCTATGCAGGAGACAAGATGGAACTGTCCTCTGCCCCTCCTTTCACTCTGGCCCAAAGTGGCAGTTGGTGCTGGGGGGAGGGGTCCCCCAATTGAAAATAAAGTTATAATGTATAATGTATAAGAAAGTTAAAAACTTGGCATTATATTAAATGTCCTTTGACCAGAAGCTGGCCATTTGGAGTGCCTCTGGTGTCGCTGAAAGAAGGTCCCCCATTGTGCATATGGCAGGGCTCAGACTGCACTGTAGTGAGCGGTCTGTGGTTTGCTCTTCTCCACACTTGCATGTTGTGGACTTCACTTTTGTAGCCACATTTCTTACGTTAACTCTGCATCTCGTAGTGCCACAGTACAGTCTGTTCAGTACCTTCCAAGTGCCCCAGTCTTCTTCTGTCTCATTGTGAATGAAATAAGATAATGTTTTTAATGCTTTTAATGTTTGATAAGTATTCATGACACCTTCATGGCAAGGAGTTAAAACTGCATGGCCCTTCCAACTCTATACTCTTTCATTCTCTTTTTTCCGTTCAAAAAGTCATTTAAAGGTTTTCAGTCTTTCAAAAATGTAACTCATGCCCTTTCTCTAAGAAGTGTTGATTTGAGGTGCAGTTACATACAGTTGATGAATATTTGATTGGTAAGATGCATAAAGCATATGTGAAATAGGGTTGGAAGAGGAATAGGTTACATATTTTATAATAATGTGAGCACAAAATTGTGGATCCAATATGCAGTTGGAAAGTGAGAGCAAATGTGGTCAAAGGGGGTAGAATTTAGTATAGTGCTGCTTATCAATCTCTCAACCTCCCTCATGCTTCTTTCCCGCACCCACAACATCACAGGATAATACATAATACAGGACTGCATTGCTGGTCTGTCATATTCTGTTCTTAATAGTAAAGCTTTTTCTCTGAAGTTTTCTTGTACATACTTGTGGTATTGTGTTCTTTTTTTTTCAGCGGGGAAACAAGGTACAACAAAGAGAAGATATTGCAAGGTTTGTGTCTTATGTTAAAACTCTTAAGAATAGTATTAAGTCGCAACCGCGTTTAGCTGTGTATCATCCCAGGGGTAATTTAATTTGGAAATATTATTAGCCTGATTTTATCAAATTATTTAAGATGCTAGCATGGAAGAAATAGTCAACAGGGAGAAAACATCCTTAATGCTCACAGTTGCTTCTGCATGTCTATGGAGAAAGTGCAACTGTTAACATAACAGACTATTATGCTAGCGTAGTACTTCTATAGGGTCCAGTTCTTGCCTCAGCCTAATGCACATACTACAATCACATATAATTGGCAATGCTTTCCCTAGACTACACATTTGTACCTGGGTTTTGCTCAAATGAAACATTAACATCGTAACTTCAGAATGGCTGTTTGCTCAAGTCAAGGGATTTTCAACTAGAACAGTCACTGAGTGTGTGGCATCTCTTGAATACAGTAAAAGAAGATGCACAGCTGCACGGGTGAGACAGGCATTAAGGAATTCAGGCAGAACAGAACAGGCCTTCAAAATAAGACTAACTAGAGACATCAGGTTACTGTTAGATTGCAGTCCCAGTAGCTGTAGCCAGTGTTGGAAGGGCCATGAGATTTTCAATTTGACAGCTTCTGAATGTGCTTTGGTCCATTCCCAATGTACGTGGTATTTTGTAGAATGTTCAAAACATAGTTAAGTGCTTGAGATCTTTGAAGTCAGCTTTGAGGCAAGATGGGTGATGAGAAGAAGGTTGAAGGGAAAAGGTAAGGGTACTAAGAAGAAAGATAGCAAATTAGTTACTCTTGAAATGAGGTTCAAAAGTATTTTACAACTATTTCACATATATAGAGCCTTTGTAATTTCAATGGAGCCCCCAGTGGCACAGCGGGTTAAACTGCTGAGCTGCTGAACTTGCTGGCCAAAATATCATCAGTTCGAATATGGGAAGTGGGGTGAGCTCCAAATGTTAGCCCCAGCTTCTGCCTACATAGCCATTTGAAAACATTCATATGTGAATAGATCAATCGGCACTGCTTCTGCGGGAAGGTAGCAGTGCTCCATGCAGTCATGCTGCCTGCATGACCTTGGAGGCATCTACGGACAATGCCAGCTCTTCAGCTTAGAAATGGAGATGAGCACCCCCTCCCCCCGGAGTTGGACACAACTAGACTTTACCTTTAATTTCAATGGAGTGATCTGACCCTTATACCTTTATTAGTAGCTATTAGTAGACTCATACATAATAATGTGATCATAATATTTTTTGCAGGGCAAGGGGTAAATGAGCCCCTTTCTGAGACTGGCTTCAGCCAAGCCAGTGCTGCTGGCATATATCTCAGTAATACAAGATTCACTCATGTCTTCTCCAGTGATTTGCTTCGAGCAAAGCAGGTGAGTGTTTTTTATACAGTGTCAGTGAGAACTATGTAATACTGTACATTTTGGGGATTGGTTTTTAGAATTCATATTTGAAGTGTTTGTCATATAGTTTTGAAACACTTGTGCTGCAGGTTGATGTATGTTTCTTAAGAGCAATCTAAAATTATACACAAGAGAGGGTCCAACAGACTAAACGAAGGCAAATGTTGCGCCCTCCCCCTTCATAAAGGAGAAGAAGACACAAACAATCACTGCCTATTCAATACCAGGAAAAATTCAAGAGAAGATCATGAGACAGAGAGTGTGTAGGCACTTAGAAAGAAATGCCATTCTCATAAAAAGTCAATACAAGTTTCTCAAAAAGAAATTATGCCAGACTAACCTTATCTACTTTTGTTGAAAGTTACAAGCTTAGCAGATGAAGAAAATGCTGTGGCTGTAGAACAGTGATGTCAGACATGTGGCCCTCAAGGTATTTTGGATTTTGAAGAATTGGCTTGTGGAAACAAAGATTGGTGAGAAAGCTTCGGTGGAGACACATTTTCCCCATGATAACTCTTTCAGGAGTGAATTTCCTTTCTAGATGGTAGATTTTTCTCACTTTCTGTTGTCTCACCCCTGTTTGTAACTAGGAGTCATTTGTAAGTTGGATGTTTGTAACTCGAGGACTGCCTGCATAGGAAAAGAGATTCTAACTAATATTTCAGAGATCGGAATCCAACATGACAATGTTTGATTCTGATTATAGAGCAGGGTCAAAACTAATAAAATGGATTTCAACAGGGGGAAATGTATGATACTACACTTAGGCAATAAAAATGAAATGCACTGATATAGGATAAGAAAAACCTGGATTGAAAACACTACATGTGAAAGTGATCGCGGAGTATTAATCGACTATTGGTGGAACATGAGTTAATTGTGTGATTCTGAAAAGATCAATGTGATTCTAGGTATATAGTGTCTCGATTGGGAGAAGTAATAATCCTACTCTGTTCTGCTTTGGTCAGGCCTCATCTGGAATACCATGTCATGCTAGTAAAAGGAGAACATTGGCAAGGTGGAATGTGTCCACAAAAGGGTGATCAAAATGGTTAACGGTTTGAAAGCCAAGACCGTAATAATGTAGTTCTCAACCTATGGGTCCCCAGGTGTTTTGGCCTACAACTCCCAGAAATCCCAGCCAGTTTACCAGCTGTTAGGATTTCTGAGAGTTGAAGGCCAAAACATCTGGGGACCCACAGGTTGAGAAGGTGCCAAAGGAGCTGGGTATGTTTAACTTTTAAAAAAGAGGGCTGAGAAGGGACATGATAGTCATGTTTAAATATTTGAAAGGATGTCACATTGAGGAAGAGGCAGACATGTTTTTGCTGCTCTAGAGGCTAGAACACAGAGCAATAGATTCACACTGCAGGAAGATATTCCTCCTAAATGTTAGAAAGAGCTGCTTGATAGTGGAATATGCTGCCTCGGTTAGTGGAGTCTTTTTCTCTGGATGTTTTGAAGCAGAGGCTGGATGGTCATCTGTCAAGAGTTCTTGGGTTGGGTGTTCCTGCATGGCAGGGAGTTGGATAGGTGGCCCTTTTGGTTTCTTCCATTTCTGTGATTCTTCTTGTTCCTTTCACTCTGTTGCAAGCAATTAGCTGCATTGCTGGATTTTTCAAGAAAACAAAAAATGGCAGCCTGAACTAAGAAACTGTTTTTGATTCTTAAATCATATCTCATAGGAAGTAATATCTGTATTGATGAGCTGTGGAAATGGGCATCACTACAAAATGATACTTCTTGGAGAAGGTGTATGTTTTGTGGATTAGCATCACTGATTTTGTAGTGATGCCTATTCCCACCTGGAGATATTAGCAGGAAAGACCATGGAACTTGAATCTAATTGGCAGTGACTGCACCTAAGCCCCTATCTGAGTTGTTTCAAGTGATCATGGTGTTCTGGTGCCAAACCAGAAGGGAATGCAGACTACTCTGCCTGCTATGAGAAATTTGCACAACATTTTGCAAATCATCTGAAAGACTGTATTTTCTTTCTGAGCCTACCCAAATGTTGAGATCCTCAGTTCTTTCTTTCTACCAGCACATTTGGTAAAGACACATAAAAGGGCCTTCTTGATGGCTTCTCCCAGGCTGTGGAACTCCTTTTCTACACTGGTAAAAAAAACCAGACTCACACCAAGTGGACAGCTGGCTGTCCCCACAACACACAGTGGCATCCAGTGAGTATTGCAGGATTTGGGTTTTTTGTTTTGGCAAAATCAGGGGATACCTGACTGGAAACTTTCGAGTATTCTGGGGGTTTATGGCAGCCTGGAATGTGGGATTGGGTCCAATTTGGACTAATCCACTGTCCAGAGTGGACACTGATACATCACACTTTTCCTGTGCTAAGTGAAAGAACAGATGATGGATTGTGTTTGTGCCACTGCTCCTAGCTAGCCATGGTGCTCTTTATGATCTCCTGGTGTTGTGAGCAGCTCTCATGTCAGAACAGGCTGACTGTGTGACGTAGAAGTAGGAGTGACCAAGAAGTAGGAGATTCCTAAAATGCACATACACCTCAAACCAAATTGAATCCATAACACCATAAAGATAAGTGCAAAAAATCTACTGGCTGCTTTGTGTATGTAAAACATGTCCTGGGTTTAAAAATTGTTTAGGTAGCATATTTGTATCTTGTGTTTTCTAGACCAATCCATTATTGCATGTCTAAAGAGAACTCTCAGCCCAAAATGTTCAAATCCCTCAAAAAAAAATTAAGCTCAATCCCCTCAATTAGTTTAAATTAGATAATGAAGAGAATGTGTGCCAAGTGTGGTCCAGATCCATCAAACTCTATTATCTAAGCAAAGTGGATAATTTGTTTGTTTTCCCATTTCAAAAGTCTTCATTGTCCAATTTTCTTTTTATTTGAATCTCCAAATTCTTCCTTTTGTGAGCTTACAACAATTCTGCTGCCAAAACCACATAATGCAACACTTTAGAGAGCAGGATAAAAAATACAACTTCAAATCCAGTAATTAAAGACCACCCCATTAGCTGTTTTGTTTTTTATTATTGTTGGGGTTGGTTTTTTTTGTTTCTTTTTGAAAACGTAAGTCTTATTCTTAGCTTCTTGCCCTGCTAAACAAATTTTGATAAATCAACTTTTAAATGTCATATAATTAAATAGTTGGATTGTGTGGAAAAGAAATAGTTTTACTGCGAGCTTCTCAAATTATTTCATAATTGTCTTTTTGACAACCCCCCCCCCCCCGCCCCAAAAAAACCCATCATGTTGATCTTCAAGAATAAATTCTTGCAGAATCACTTGGATTCCTTTTGTTAAAATCAAGGCTAAGATTTTAAAATCATTATTCAGTAATAAAATAGGTCTATAGTTACTTCACTGTGAGACCATCTACACAGGCCAAAAAATACGAATCAGGCCTGGATGTCCACATGACGTTCAGGAACATCCAGCCTGTTACATGGGATAAAACTAGTTCATTCGATCTCCTCTTTTCCACAGGTCATGTCACTGCCTCTCTGACATTCCATGACTGCTTTCCTGGCACCAAACAATGAAAAGGTTTTTGCCCCACTGAATGGCCAGGACTCCACTCCCACTGCTGCTGGAGTTGAGAATCAAAGCATGTAAACACCTCTAAGATACTGGTCTAGTCTGAAACAGCAGTATTCCAACTGAGCTCCAGACTTGTGTTTTTGTGTAGATAGGCTCTTGATCTCATTCAGACCTTTTGATTAAAAAAGGTTAATTTCACCATTCTTCCACAGATATTCGTCTATTCAAATGCTGTTGTTGTATCTCTGTTACCCAAAAAAGTTAATGGAACTGAAGAATACAGTTAGAGAAATTAGTAGCTACAAAAAAACACTTAAGCTCGCTTTTCTTTGGGAGCATATTTATCAATGTAATAACTATTGATAAATAAGTAAGTAAGTAAGTAATAAAACAGAAGGGAGAAGGAAACAACATTTAAAAAATAGTTTTTTTCCTGTCTCAACAACTACACAAAGAAAATCCAGATAATTAAAGATTTGTAGAATACTTTACAATTAAAAAATATTTTGCAGAAACAAGTGTGTTTCATAATATATGGGGCATTTAAAAACATGGATTTTTGCATTTAATATTTCAGACCACAGACTCAATCCTTGTAAAGAGTCAGTTCTGCAAAGACATTTCTGTAAACTACGATTCAAGACTTCGGGAACGCGTAAGTTACAAAAATACTTTTTATAGCAAACTTTTAAAAAATAAAATCATGAAAGCCAATAAATGCAGTCTTGTGCCACCCTGAAAACTAGAGATTTGTACATGGTGCTTGCACCATCATTTCCTAGAAGGACCTAAGATTGGCTGAGCGAACTGTTGAGGCGGCCTTTCCCCCAGTTTCCCTGGGCCTGAGTGAGATCTCTATGCTGTGAAGGAAGACCTTAGCCACAAAGGAACTCTATTCTTTGTTGTGTTCACATTTTAAAATGCTGTGCTTTAGCAGAAGAATGATATCTAAATGGAGTGTTGTGTGGTTTCCAGACTGTATGGCTGTGTACTAGAAGCATTTTCTTTTGGTGTTTCGCCAGCATCTGTGGCTGGCATCTTTCAGAGCAACTTGGGTCCTCTGAAGAAAGATGGAATATACATCAAATAAATAAATAATAACAGTTTAAAAAGCAAAATTGGCAATATGACAATGAGACGGGACAACATTTTTAATAAGGCGACACTATGAATTTATATTTTATTGATATGTTTAATTTTTATTATATGTTATGTTTTTAATTGTATTTATGATATTGTAAGCATTGAATTTTACCCCGTTAGCCGCCTTGAGTCGCATATGGACTGAGAAAGGCAATATACAAATAAAGTAAATAAATAAATAATAAATATTTTTAGCTTCAAACTAAAAGAGTTTCCTTCTCTAGAGGTTTTTAAATAGAGCCTGGATCATATGTTGGGGCTGCTTTGATTGTGTGTTCCTGTGTGGCAGGGAATTGGACTGAATGGCCCTTCCAACTCTAGGATTGTATGATTCTGCATTAGTGACAGCCATTTTACTACTACTTTTAACAGAAATATGGAGTGGCAGAAGGAAAACCTTTAAGCAATCTCAGGGCTATGGCAAAAAGTGCTGGGGAGCAATGCCCTTCTTACACCCCTCCTGGAGGAGAAACACTAGATGAGGTTAGTATTTGTTTTCCTAATCATTTGTTGTCCATTCATATTTGACTGCATACACAACATGTATTTTATGTTAGCTTGTAACATATCTGCTAACTATAGCATGTGTTTTATGTATTGTTTGTTGAAGCCTCTGGCAATGATTACCTGAACTGGACTGGTAGGGGGCTTATGGATTAATAAATGGTGGCTTATGGATTAATAAATGGTGGCAGCAAAAGAAACCTTAATAGTTAGAGAAATTAGTAGCAGCAAAGAGAAATATAATATATAGTTTAGACATCTCCCTGTCCTGACCTCAGTCCTCTGCACCCTACAAGAGATGGCTAAGGGAGATAGATATGTTTATCTTGGAGAAAATAAGGCTGAGAAGGGACATGACAGATATGAAAGAATGTCACATTGAGGAGGGTGCAAGTTAGTTTTCGGCAGTTCTGGAGACCAGGACATGAAGAAACGAATTCGAATTTTAGGGGAAAAGGTTCCACCTAAACATTGTCAATAGAATATGTTGCCCTGGAGTGTGGTGTAGTCTCCATCCATGTTCCTGCATGGCGGGGGGCTGGATAATAATAATAATATTTATTTATTTATTTACTGCATTTATTGACCGCCGCTCTCAGCCCTAGGGCGACTCGCGGCGGTGCACAACATATAAAAACAGTTACAAAAGGGCAAAACAGGAAATCAATACAACAATAATACACTATAATCTAGTTACACTAAATAATCCGCTCCGTCACATCATAGAATCATAACCAATATCGTAATCCGTATTCCGTTCCAGTTGTCAATTACCAGTTGCCGTAGCGCTCAGTTGAATGCCTTCTCAAATAGCCAGGTCTTCAGGCTCTTACGGAAGGACAGAAGGGAGGGCGCCTGTCTGATGTCAGCAGGGAGGTCGTTCCACAGCCGGGGGGCCACCACCGAGAAGGCCCTTTCTCTCGTCCCCGCCAGACGTGCCTGTGAAGCAGGCGGGATCGAGAGAAGGGCCTCCCCAGACGATCTCAAGGTCCTCGTGGGCTCATAGGCCAAGATGCGGTCCGAAAGGTATTTTGGGCCGGAACCGTTTAGGGCTTTGTAGGATAACACCAGCACCTTAAATTGGGCCCGGTAGCTAATAATAATAATAATAATAATAATTTATTTGTACCCCGCTACCATCTCCCCAAGGGACTCGGTGCGGCTTACATGAGGCCAAGCCCACAATACATCAATAAACAAAAACATTAAATAAAACAGTCAATACAATACAATTCATATCAAACATAACAAAAAGAAACAATCAACAGTGACATACAAACATGTTAAAAACCAATGGCTGGGCCAAATGTAATAGATTAAAATTAAAATACTGCTGACGTGACGTGAACATTTTCAGAGAGAATTGAGGGAATGCAGTCAGTCCTAAATCAATAGTAAAGTGAATTTTGAGGGCATGTTGCTGAGAGTTTCTTTATTCTGGGAAGGCACACTGGAACAACCACGTTTTCAGGCTCCTCCTAAAGACTTCCAAAGTTGGGGCATGTCTAATGTCCCTGGGAAGTGAGTTCCAGAGTCGAGGGGCCACCACCGAGAAGGCCCTCTCCCTCGTCCCCACCAATTGCTCCTGCGAAGGAGGTGGGAGTGTGAGCAGGGCCTCTCCAGATGATCGAAGAGATTGTGTGGATTCATACACAGAAATGCGATCACGCAGATAGGTGGGTCCCAAACAGTTCAGGGCTTTGTAGGTCAAAACCTGCACCTTGAATTGGGACCGGAAAATGAACGGCAGCCAGTGGAGCTCCTTAAACAGGAGGGTTGACCGCTCTCTGTAAGATGGCCCTTGTGATCTCTTCCAACTGTATGATTCTATGATTCTAACTGATTTTATGGAGCCCCCCGTGGCGCAGTGGGTTAAACCCCTGTGCCGGCAGGACTGAAGACCGACAGGTCACAGGTTCAAATCCGGGGAGAGTGTGGATAAGCTCCCTCTGTCAGTTCCAGCTCCTCATGCGGGGACATGAGAGAAGCCTTCCACAAGAATGGTAAAAACATCAAAACATCCAGGCGTCCCCTGGGCAACGTCCTTGTAGACTGCCAATTCTCTTACACCAGAAGCGACTTGCAGTTTCTCAAGTTGCTCCTGACATGACAAAAAACCTGATTTTATTATAAAAGATTTGCATTGGGACATATTCCAATAAAATTATCAAGCAGGAAGGCATCTAGCAATAATATGCATGGTATTTTGGTTTGTAGAAGGCACTCTTTCATAATAATAATAATCATCATCATCATCTTTCATAACAGCTTTTTCAGCCTGCTGCTTTCATTATCCATATTGCATCATCATTGTGTGTAGCACTTGGAAAGTGACATAGGAATAAATGATCCTTCCTTTCTCTTTAACTCATAAAAGTAATGGAAGAGATGAGGAAGAGGCAGACAGGGACAGAAAGAATGACAACTGCATAAGTCCAACAAATTTTCTTTCACAAAGACATTAATTCAAATGTTTCAATGAAAGAAAGGGTTGGAAGAGGAGGATTTTGAAGGGGTTTATGAAGAATGTTGGAAGGGAATTTGGAAACTAACACGTAAGAGTCTATCAGGGAAAGAAATTTTAAAATCTTTGTTTTCTCCTTTCCTCTAACTTTAGGTAAATGCTCGGTGCAAAGATTTTTTTGAATACCTTTGCCAGCTTATTTCCCAAGAAAGCTGTCTGGAAACACAGTCCTCAAGCACGGAAGGAACTGACACAGAAATAGAAGAAGGAAAGTCTGCTACTTCATTAACAAGTTATGACGGCAGGATGGAGTTTCATTCTGAATGTAATAGAGGTGACAAAGGACTAGATGCCAATATATTGGTTGTGAGTCATGGTGCATACATGAGAAACTGGATTGGCTATTTTATTTCAGATTTAGAGTGCTCTTTACCAGATACTGTGACAAAGACGGAGCTGTCTTCTGTCAGTCCCAACACTGGAATTAGTCAGTTCATTATAAAATTTGAGATGAGAAAAAAGTTGAGACCTCAAATTCATTGTATTTGTCTCAATAGAGGAGACCATTTAGTGGGTTTAAAATGTGAAAAGGTGTAGTTTAGAACATTAAAATGCAAAGTGTATTTATGCATTGTGTGAAGACATATTTTCTTTTAAATTATTGTAATGTTATGCCCTGCTTTGCTTCAGAGAACGTTTGCTTCAGGAGAAAGAAATTAAGTAAAACTGCATTGTTTGAAAACTTGATTTCTATGTTGAAGGATGCTATACAAAACTTATAGGACTTAATTATTTTCCCATTGAATGTATCACAGTATCAAAATATTATCTTGGTGGGTAAAAAAAATTACCGACTATGCATGGTATCCTTGTTAGACTAGGAACCTTGGTGTTCTCTAGTGTGAAATTTGCTAAAATTCAAAAGGAAAACATCAACATGTATATGTGTGAATATTGATGTTGAATTCTTAAAAATAATGAAAGGTAGATAGTCTAACTGAACTATTACAGATACTGTATAAGTTGATTCATGAGTATGCTCGTCTAGCTTTTTCAGTTGCGCAGCCAATCCCACTTCTGACCTGAAGGTCATACTGTGAGTTCCTCTCCTGTTGTATCTATCTTTGCTTCCAAGGCCTCTCACTGCTGGACTATTGCCAGGAAGGTTTAAGAAACCAATATCAACAGAGGCTGACAGGAAGGGCTCTGCTTCTTGGATGCCCAATTAAAACTGGTGGGCAGGGTGATTACTTTTTATACAATGACCTTAGTGTGATTTTGAAGGAACTTGAATGCAACTGAAAGCAAGAGCATTGTCTGTTTTCATTTTCGAAGACAGACTTGGTAGCACATATCCAGGTGGTTGGATAATTTTATTTACTTATTTATTGAAAGTATTTATACCTTGCACTTCAGCCACAAAGGCTCTCAGAACAGCTTAATCAATATTTATCAATATTTGGCTAATTCTAAGTCAATGCTGGGAGAGCAACAGCCTTGAATGAGATACATTTCTTCTGTTTACATTATGATAGAAATAATTCATTTATTTCTGTATTATCAGACATATGATTTTTTTCCACATATGCAATGCAATCTCAGGCTTAGTGACTTTATTTTAATGTTGTATAAAATCTGTAAACCTTTCAATATTTGTCATTGTAAGAGAAGAGAGTATGAAATATTTAAATAGCCTCACATGGGGGGAAAGGTTAAGCAACCATCTGAATCAATGGATTTGGGGCACCATTAAGGGCATATAGATCATAGAGTTGAAAGATTAGTATGGTGCTGCAACCTTAAAATAGATTCAGATAATCTGTTTACTCCAAGAACATCTGTAGTTGCCCTGCTATTTATGTTAATCACCCACAAGGGGATTTTAGCAATGGGATACTAGTTTTCCGCTACCTCTTGATCTAGGGAGGACCTCATCAGAACCTTTTTCCAAGGGATTAGGCACCTCCCCTCTGATATAGTCTTTACCCGCCTGGACCCAGAATGTGCTAAATTTCATCAGCCAAGTTGAACAGTAGTCATCTTGGCTGATAAAACATGGATTAATTCAAACATCTTGTCCACATCAGCAAGCTACAATAAGTGAAACATCCTGTTATTTTTTTGCTTGTAGTATGGTGTCATCTGCATATCTTAAATTGTTGACGTTTCTTCTCCAGTTTTCATACCTCCTTCCTCCGAGTCTAATCCAATTTTTATATAATACGTTCAGCATACAAGGTGATTAGGTGGTGAAATGCATCCTTACCTGACCCCCTCAACAACTGAAAACCACTCTGTTTCTCCATATTGTGTCTAAATGGAGTCCTCTTGTCCTGAGTACAGGTTATGTGTTAGGATAATTAAATGAGCGGTTTACCCATATCTTTAAGAACAGTCCATAGTTTTCCATTATCTACACTAGTGTGGTCTTTGGGTCTGAGTACAAATCCACCTAAGAATAGCCTGTAGCCCATATTTAACACTTCGTCTTCATGATTTCGTACATCCACATTATTCTTCTGATCTAGCAAAAAAATCTTACATGACCTACTTTTGAGAAACCCTTGCTGGCGCTCAGTAGGTAGGCACAGTTCTATCATGCCCAAGCCCAGGAACTGAAGAAAAGTCTTGCCACCATGCTAACTGCCTCTGCTGTAGCCTCTAAGGAAGACAACAGCAGCCAGCCTCTGCTAATCTTAATCTTCTCCCACTGCTATTCCCAATTCCTTGTGTGTCATGTCTTTTTATTGCAAACCTAAGGGACTCTTTCTTTGGTTTTACCCATGTGTTTTAAAAACAGTGCTTGAATTGTTTCAAACAGCTTTCCAAAATTTTGTGTGCCCCCCCCCCCCCCCCCGCAACACTCCTATCCAGAGTTCTAGAAACCAAGAAAACACCCCAGTAGAGTATTTTCTCGTTTGTTATACTTGATTTTTTTTATTTGCATGACATGCTCTGAATGTGATTGGTGTTTATTGATAAACACGAACACTCAACAATAATGTCAGGTTCTATTTGTTGTGACATAAATAGGGATAGTACTTAGTATTCAGGATTTGGCACTGAGGGGAACCAGGATGCTTCTATCCTAGTTCAAGATGGATGACACAACAGTAATACATCTGTGTGCTTACTAAGTCTCCCTTTCCACCTGTCCCACAACCCACAACCATCATGTTTTGTGGATTCAGCAACCAAACCAAACATGCTGGATGAGGGTCTAAGAGAGTGGATTCACACTGTGGTTTACTAAGTAAAAATGTCTGGAATGCCAGGGTTTATTTTGAAAGACCGTTTATACGGTCTTTCAAAAACAATGGACTGTGTTCTGATTTGCTCAAAATTACAGTTATTTTTCTTATTGGTTTGATGTACAGTCATTGCTCTCATATTTTGCAGCTATTATGGATGGATTATGTATGTATGGCAGGAACGTTAATAAAGTTTTATTGAGGTAATCCTGAATTCGTTGCTATTCTAGTGTCCTTCCCCTTTTGGGATGGGGGGAGGGGCTTTATGGGCAAGAAAATGGATATCAGCCAGTGACAATGATTGCTGATAGGCCTACCTGGGTGAGATGGCCCTTTCCTGTTTTCTCCAAAATGAGACAATGGGAATCTGGGCTATGGTGATGGGCTTTCAGATTCCTTGAATTATCAGTTGCTAATAGGCCTACCTGGGTGAAATGGCCCTTTCCTGTTTTCTCCTAAATGAGACAGTGGGGAGCTGGGCCATGGTGATGGGTGGTGATGGACTGGATTATTGGTTGCTGGTTGACATGATCTGTGGTGCTCAGCCCAGTTGTTTGCCTGGAGGCTGGCTGTTCATTCATTTCAAAGCTCCCTGCTTGAGCGTTGATGGCACAATTGTCAGCATAGATGAAACTCTCTGTCCCTTCTGGCAGTGGCGGATCATTTGTGCAAATTTTAAAAATTGATGGAGCAAGCATTCTTCCCTGTGGCAAGCCCCTGGGGCTGGCTGATAAGGAGGTTCTTGTGTCCTATTGGTGACCTAAGCCCCCATTGTGTATTGTGAAAAAGAGAAAAAACAGGTCTGGCTTCCCAGAGGGCATTTCCTACATTTGATCTCCAGTGGGGGCACTGTGATATCAGCATTATGAGGCCAATTATTGGTGTCTCCCAAATTTTGTGTATGGGTTTTTGGAGAACAAAAAGACATGACAAGTAAAATGACGATTTTTTTCCTGAGAAAATAAAATGTTTATTTTTTGCTTTTCTTATCAAATAAAATAGGAAGGAAGGAAAATGCATAATCATTATAAATATTCATAAATATTTTTGAAATGTGAAAATCATTGAAATAAATAAATAAATACAACAATGTAAACGGCACTAAAAACACTTCCTCTGAGCTGGTGCTGCCTAGGGCTTCCTTTTAAAACAAGTCACTCGAAACTCCCATAGCTATTAGATATTGCTTGTTCGGGATCACATTCACTCCCTTTCCACTTAGTTTTATTAATTCCCAGACATCTTAGGCATCCTGATGTCTGCCAATGTATTCCTCTGGTGTGTGGCTGAGGCCACAGGGACCAGTACTTGGAAGATTTGGGCACAATGACATTTGAGCACAACCATTCTACAGGCTTTAGTAATATAAGAGGAACACAGTCTTATATATTGTGGATAATAACAATTCATAAGACAGAAACACTAAAACACTTTCTCACACAATATGTTAAAATGGGTCGGGAAGACAATTTTTCAACTGACTCATTTACTTGACAATTTAGCTCTCTTCATATGAGAGCTTACAATTATTTGTTAAGCTCTCATATGAATCTTATTATTTGTTTATATACTGCTTTTTTCCTCTAAAACACTGACTTTCATTAAGAGGCAGTGATCTTTTTCAATAGTAAAGGTAACGGTTTCCTCTTGACATTAAGTCTAGTCAAGTCCGACTGGGAGGTTGTGCTCATCCCCATTTCTAAGGTGAAGAGCCAGCGTTATCCGTAGACTCCTAGGTCATGTGGCCAGCATGACTGCATGGAGCGCTGTTACCTTCCCACCAAAGCGGTACCTATTGATCTTGCATTCACATGTTTTCTAGATTGGCAAAAGCTGGGGCAAACAATGAGAGCTCACCCCACTCCCCAGTCAACAAGTTCTGCAGCTTAGCGGTTTAACCCGCTGCGCCACTGGGGGCCCTTTCAATAGTGTTTACTAATCTCTGTATAGCCCATCAAAAAGATACTCTCATAGAAAAAATGGCCCAAAATTGCTGCTAAGAGGAAAGAAGTAATAAAAACAGAGTCATGCGATTCATTCAAATACTATCTGTATCTCAAAAGCCACTGTGGCCTATGACTGGAGAACAGGGTTTGAATTCCTGCTCAGGCAAGTCACATTCTCTTAGCTTCAGAAGAAGACAAAACCCCAACAAGTCTTGAAAAGAAAGGCCCTTAATAGGGTCACCTTCAGGTGGGAATATATTGGAAACCATTTTAAGGCACACAACAACAGCAATAATCTGCATCTCCAGACAACAACGCCCGGGAGTCTCAATAAAGTAGGAATATTTTCCTGTCACCTCAATTTAACATAGATTATTTGTTATAAACTCATTCTGAACTACTAATCTGAAAAGATGGTTTTAACTTCTGTTATATGTAGACTAACAAGTGTTTCAAGGAACGATTCAAGTTTTTTTCTGGTTACTACTGAATATTATAATTTCAGTTCAGGTCCTGGCATCTGTTCTAGGACTCAAAAATCTTCTATTGATGGTTGCACTGTTTGGGTCTTCATCTTCACTGTTTGAATTCATTATAGTGTTATCCATCAATGGCTGGAACTGTAGGTTTTCTTTATCAATATTTCCTGATGATATGATGCTGCCACAGGGATCCGCATTGGCACTTCTGGTATGTCTGTGGGGTTTCGGTGTGTTGAACTGGACTAAAGGAATTTCATTTCTCCTGGACAAGAACTGGGAGTAAGGTGGTGGGTTCATATTGGGGAACAAAGGTTGTTTTGCCTTTCCTAAACTGACAAGGTAATTGTATTTGGGAGACTGATAGACATCATAACCATTTTCCAGGGCCCAGTGTTTGAAAGTGCAGTCCTCATAACTGAAGAAATGCTGGAGAAAAGAAACAAATACGGAAAAAATATTAAAATGGAAACAACAGTTTAGTTAGCAACAGGTTAAAATGCAGGATGAACATTCTGGTTAGGGAGATAATCCCTGTATGTTTTATCAGATGTTTGTCATGATAATATTTTATTTCTCAATATATTCTAGCTAACATACAATGATGTTTAACAACACTAAGGTTTGATGGTGTTTGATATATAACACAATGTTTTCATACTTTTGTTACAAGATTTACAATGTATCCATCTATCACTGCTTATTAAACTGGGTCCTGACTGCAAGGAAAGTCCCCTTAGCTCAATGTTGGGGTCTCAAAAAATTTGACAACAGTAAAAGTTTTCTGAACAGGAGCCCCTCGGTGGCACAGAGGGTTAAACTGCTGAGCTGCTGAACTTGCTAACCGAAAGGTCAGGGGTTTGAATCCAGGGAGTGGGATGAGCTGTTAGCCCCAGCATCTGCCAACCTAGCATTTCGAAAACATGCAAATGCGAAATCAATAGATACCACTCCAGTGGGAAAGTAACGGCATTCCATGCAGTCATGCTGGCCACATGACCTTGGAGATGTCTATGGACAACGCCAGCTCTTCGGCTTAGAAATGGAGATGAGTACCACCCTCCAGAGTCAGACATGACTAGACTTAATGCCAAGGGGAAACCTTTACTTTAAAGGTTTTCTGAATGACACCCATTTTACACAAATCATAGAATCATAGAATCAAAGAATCAATGATTCTATGATTTGTGTAAAATGGGTGTCATTCAGAAAACCTTTAAAGTAAAGGTTTCCCCTTGGCATTAAGTCTAGTCATGTCTGACTCTGGAGGGTGGTACTCATCTCCATTTCTAAGCCGAAGAGCTGGCGTTGTCCATAGACATCTCTGTTAACAAAAACATGCATTTACAGTGGACTCTGGAGAAATGGCTTCAGCTATATTCCACAAAAAGGAAAATCAGCCTGTTTAGCAAGCCTTACAAATACTGATTTGTTATCAGTAAATGTTTAGTTTTTATACCTATTTTATATACCTATATACCCAGGGTCATGTAAAAAGTGCCCAGGTGGAAAGTGGGAAAAGATCAAGAAGCCCTGATCTTTAGAAAGCAATATAAAACCAACAACCTACTAAACAGTGCAGAGGCATGAAGTTTTAACAAATATTGTAAACACTTGATTGTACTATTCATACAGATTGGCATTAAATTGGAGAGAAGGAAAATGGCACCCATATCTGACGAAATTATTTTACATTTAGAACGTTACAGTTCCTTCATTGTTGTTTAATTATTTTTTCTATGTTGACAGAAGACCTATGAGTCTTGCCCTCTAGAATTAACTTCCTCTTGTTCCCACCCCCATCACAGGCTTGCTTGGTAAGGACTTGAGAAATAGACTTCTCAGTGACTGTGTCTACCCTCTGGAACACCCTTGAATGAGACACCAGCCTGTTCCCCTTACTACTCTCCTTTCTTCAGCAGGCAAAAATGTTTCTTTTTAAGCAAACTTTTTATGGATAATTCTTTTAGGAGAGGGATGGCGCTTTTTGTAACTTTTAAAGTATATGCTTTTAATTCATTTTTAACATGCTATTTTAATATGATGGTTTTAATTCTTTTTTGGAATTGTATTGCTTATTCTTTTGTGAGCCATCTTGGGTCCTCATTCAGGAGGAAGGTAGCCTATAAATTGAATTAAAATAAAATAAGCAAACAATGCTTTTCTGTACCTGGCCTTTTTTCATCCATGCTGCCAAAATCAAGAGAACAATTGAGTCCTTACATAATAGATTTTAATGTTTTCCCAATAAAATAGATATTGAGCTTTTCACAGTTGATGCTTCTCTAAATGCGAAATGTCATCCCCTCCCTCCCTCAGGTCCAATCTTCTGAAAGAGTCTTATTCAAATTGTGTTTATTGCAAGCAGTGTCTATTACATATGGGTATGTGCCAAACCCCTTGCATGATCTCTAAGATTTACCATTTATTTTATTGTCAATATAACACAGTGGCTCCCAACCTGTGGTCTGTGGACCACCAGTGGTCCCCAAGAATGAAAATATGGTCCGTGGCCTCACCATTACTACACTGTTGCCTCAAAACCACGTGGCAACGAGAGCGACTGATCTCTCGAAACCTTACAGTGCTGATGCAACAGGGATGTCGGGAGGAAAGAGACTACCCAAGAAAGATTACTACTACTACATCAGCTCTAGAGGATTAAATATGGTTTTCTGTGGGTGAGCAGATGGCAACTACTGGATGGCATACGTTCTGTATCAGAAACTAGAGCTGATGTGGTCTTCCCAATGCAATTTTCTGAATCAACACCCCAAATAACCAAACCGAATCTAAAGTTGACCAAAACCTATTTCATACAAATGTTGGAGAGTAGTCCCTGGTCAAAGTGGTCCCTGTTCAAAAAAAGGTTGGGAATCACTGATATAACACATGCATATGGGAACCAAATGCCAGGGATGTGAGATTGTGCTCTCGAACTTTGAATGGCACTGACATCATGTTTTTCTCAGGGGTGTCTCATGTTTTATGATCAATAACTATCCCTAGATATTTTACCTGGGGCCATCTAACTTAAGATCATGGCTCCGTTAGATGGCTCCGAACTTGGGACGGAGGAAGGAGCTGTCAAAAGGGCAAACTTTTTTGAAAGAGGGGTGTCAATTGGACACCTGCTCAAACAATGAAGGTTTACCAACAGGTTTAAGCATTTGAATGTGATCATGGTCATTTTCTCTATGTTCTTACATATATTTTAGTTGCTCAGCATACCCATCCATTTTCTCCTCTAGCAATACTGATGGTGATGAATATGCAGAAAGAGGTAGGGGACATCCAACATTAATTTTATTGTCTCAGAAGAAGAGGGGGTGTTTTAATAAAGAAGTGAAAGAGACAACCGCTTCTTGGGAAGCACAACAGTTATTTACTCCAAGCCTCTGGTGCAAGCCCTGCTGTATGATGTAATTTTGCTAAATAATTTTATATGTGGAGCCCCCGGTGGCACAGTGGGTTAAAGCCCTGTTCCAGCAGGACTGAAGATCAACAGGTCGCAGGTTCGAATCCGGGGAGAGGCGGATGAGCTCCCTCTATCAGCTCCAGCTCTTCATGCGGGGACATGAGAGAAGCCTCCCACAAGGATGATAAAACATTAAATCATCCGGGCGTCCCCTGGGCAACGTCCTTGCAGATGGCCAATTCTCTCACACCAGAAGCAACTTGCAGTTTCTCAGGTCGCTCCTGACACGACAAAATATATATATATGTATAAGCAGACTTACCGATCCAAAGATGTTCCCATTCATATCCATACAAAGGAAACGTCCACTTTTCACACCATTTATTATAACATAACCAGCAACTTCGGATTTGATCATCAAGGCACCTGAAAATTAAGTTACTGAATATTAGAAAATTATTTTAATAACTTCAGTTGCAGATGGTGGCGGTTGACTGGCCAGAACCAACCACAAAATATGTTTGTTTCCCTGGCAGTCCTATCAGATTTCAATCATGTTACAAAAGAATGACTGTCTGCAATAATAAAAAAGTTGTTTCAAATTATAACAAATAGGTCTCAAGCCCCAGCAGGACTCCACAGCAAAAACACTCCTGTAAGATAGGAATCCTCTGTCTAAAGACCTCCAGATAATTATTCATATTATTTTTATTATTAACTTTTTAAATACCCCATCTTTCTCCCTGTGGGGACTCAAGGTGTTTAACAATCCCACACTTTACTCATTGTATAAAGATTCCAATACAAAAGTTAAAAAACAATTAAATAGTACAGTGTAGATTAAGATAAAAACAGATTAAAATATAATAAATACATTTAAAATAGTCTTTGAAACTCAGAGAAGAGTCTACAGTGCTCATGACAGTATATTCCACTGTTGAACAGCTCTTGCCAATAAAATTTCTTCCTAACATTTAATCACGATTTTTTTCTTTTTGTAATTTTGTAATTTTAGTGTACTGGTTTATACCAGTAAATTAAAATTACTTTCACTGTTTTCTGAAGTCTCCAAAAATTAAATTGTGTGTCTTAATCATGATATTGCTCCACATTGTTAATGATAGCTATCACAGGTGCTTTGTTCTACCCAACTGCTAACTCTGTTTCTTACTTTGACTCACTTTCCACAAAATATGCTTCTCTCCCTATGTGTTCTTTCTCTATTCTCTAGTAATTACCTTCCCAAAAGGAACATCTACTCCTGCCCTCTTCTGCCAGGCAGGAATGCAAGCTACAGCGCTATCACCTCTCCATTTTCTCTTCTCCAAGCTACATGTATCTAACTTCCCATGTTGTCCCTTAATCCAGAAAGCACTGTGGACTCAAACAATATGGATCTGAACTAAACTTGGCATGAATACTCAATATGCCCAAATGAAGTTTGGGGAAATAGACCTTGTCAAACTACAAGAAAGGAGATTCCATCTGAACATGAGGAAGAACTTCCTGACTGTGAGAGCTGTTCAGCAGCGGAACTCTCTGCCCCGGTCTGTGGTAGAGGCTCCTTCTTTGGAAGCTTTTAAACAGAGGCTGGATGGCCATCTGTCGGGGGTGCTTTGAATGAAATTTTCCTGCTTCTTGGCAGGGGGTTGGATTGGATGACCCATGAGGTCTCTTCCTAAGTCCAATCCCCAACAGTGCAGGATCTCTAGTTAGAGCATCCCCAGCAGGTAACTGTCCAACTTTGTTTTGAACGTGTCCAGAGAACACTTTGTGCAGTTGATCCCATTGCTAACCTATGATTCTATGATTCTATTTGGGAGTTGTAGTTGCTGGGATTTATAGTTCACCTACAATCAAAGAGCATTCTGAACCCCACCAACAAGAGAATTGTGCCAAACTTCCCACACAGAAGCCTCATGACCAACAGAAAATACCGTGCTTTCTGATTATATTTGGTGACACCCACCCTCTGACACCCACTCACGACCCCTCCAGGGGTCCCAACCCCCAGGTTGTGAAACACCGATTTAGTGCTAAGTGAGAGATTCAATATAGTTTTTATACCTTTACTATGAGGTATATTGTAGACTTAAGTTTAGGATACAATTTCTAGAATCCCCCAGCCACCATATCCAGCATTTCTGGTCTTCTTCGCATTATTTCTCAGACTCCTATGGTACTTACTGTAAATGGTTTGATACGGACTTCCATCCACGTAGCCATTGGAGTGGATTTGCAGGTGGAAGCTATTTCTTGCTGTGGAGGTGTACAAGTGCAGCAGGCTGTCTGAATTTCCCCAGTTGCGGCTGAGCAAAGGCGATGCATTGGGGAAAGCAGCAATTGCTTTCCAGCTACATGTTGCAAACAGCATATATTTGAGGAAGCTGCACAGAGTAGCCATGGTATTCCTCTCTGACCTGCAACTTGATCCTTTTCCCTGTCCACAGCCACCCACCTTCTGCCTTCCTTTCTGCTGGAGTGTGATGCCTCAGACAGGCTCCCAACAGCCTTGCAACAGTTTTATAGTTGTTGAGCGGCTCGTGGGGGTGAGGCTCTTTCTGGGCAACATTTTGGGAGTGTCCTTAGACCTCAACAACTCAGGAAAAAGGGGAAAAAACATCTGCACATGGGTTTCTCAGAGAGGTTTCTGTGGTTTCCAAAGTAAACTTTTGGACACTAATGACATGTTCAAATGTTATCTGAAAAAAACCTCTGACATCAGAATGCTTCCCACTGTCTGGATTAGGACCAACCCATTCATTTGTGATGCAACGGCATCTCCATTCTCCCCCATTCTCTACAGCTGTTTCTGTATACCTGGGTTGTTAAACATAAGGTCTGAGTATCCGGTGAGGCAATGTTGACTCTGGGATGGCACTAAGGCACCCGTCCTACACAAATGATCAAGGCAAAGCTAGGAAGCAAAAAAAGTACAATCCCCATATCCACAGGGAATATGTTTCCTGACTTCACATAGATACAAGAAACCACATACACAAGTAAACCCTGTTAATTCAATGGGATGAACAATGGAGATACCAGGAAGAAGGGGTATACAAGAGGCCTTTAGTAGTGAAGACGTGAAGCCATGGATAAGTGAAACTGCATGTATTTGTTCCGTGGATATGGGGGTACTGTATTCTTAAAGGAACTTGACTTTTAAAAACTCAGCTACTACATGCTACAATGCTGTCGCTTGATGCTCAGGTGTCGGCAGTGGCCGGGAGGGCCTTTGCACAACTCAAACTTGTGTGCCAGCTGCAACCATGCCTTGTGAAGTCTGACTTGGCCAGGGTGGTCCACGCCTTCGTTACATCCAGACTGGACTATTGCAATGCGATCTGCGTGGGGCTACCCTTGAAGACGGCCCGGAAGTTTCAACTGTTACAACGGGCAGCAGCTAGGCTCCTTACTGGAGCAAACTATAGGGAGCATACAACGCTCTTTATTAAAACAGCTTCATTGGCTGCCTATAAGTTGATGAGCGAAATTCAAGGTGCATGTCATGACGTATAAAGCCCTAAATGGTTTGGGCCCTGCCTATCTCCGAGATCGCATCTCCTTCTATGAACCGGCACAAACTCTAAGATCTTCCGGGGAGGTACTCCTCTCTGTCCCACCTCCGTCACAAGCACAGTTGGTGGGGACGAGAGAGAGGGCCTTCTCAGTGGTGCCCCCCCACCTCTGGAAGGCCCTCCCCAGGGAAATTAGACAGGCCCCATCCCTTCCCTCCTTTCGTAAAGGCTTGAAGACCTGGTGGTTTCAACAAGCCTTTGAGAATGACTAGTTCTAGCTCAGCCCTAGACATTGTTGAATATGGCCTTATTATTCCTACCAATTACCCAGGCCACTTACTCTAATAGGCCCCGGAAATGAATCAACCATATACCCTGCTATAGCACTGCACTTATTCCCCCCCCCCCCCCCCCCAGAATTTTTGAGCTTGCACTAATCTCAGCCTGGCCTTTTAAAATGTCTTGAACAGGCAGGGATTATTTTTAATATATATGTATTGTGGCAACAATTTTTGTGCTTATATTGTTTTGTTAATCTTATGTTTATGTTGTTTACATTGTATGTTTTGATGATTTTACTTGGAAACCGCTCTGAGTCCCCCCGGGGAGATAGAGCGGTATATAAATAAAGTTTTATAATTTTATTATTGTTATATAGAACACTGGGCTCTTTCCCCCATATCTCTTAGATTAAAACTGTGGTTGTTTACATGCCATTACAATTGGAAGAGACCCCCAAGAGTAATGAATTCCAAACCCCTTCTACCATACAGAAATACACAATCCAGTCCTCCTGATAGATGGCCATCTAGCCTCTGTTTTAAACCTCCTGAGAAGGAGGCCCCAGCACACTCCAAGGCAGGAACATATTCCACTGTCAAAATGGTGCAAAGGCTAAATAGACAATTAAAAATGTAATTGCAAACACTTGAGCTGTAGTTTGAACTGATAAACAGAATATCTTCTTGCTTGTTCTTCTGTTATAAAGACTTAGGAGTGCCCTTTTTAAATACATTAAGGGCTGGGCTGGCAAGAAGAGGAGGGGTGGCATGTCCTCTGCTGTCCCAGAGGGTAGAGCCAGGTCTGATAATTTTAAGTTCCAAGAGAATAGGTTTCAATTGAATCTTAGAAGGAACTTCTTGGAGAGAGCAGGTGAGCAATGGGATCAACTGCACAACGTGTTCTCTGGACATGTTCAAAACAAAGTTGGACAGCTACCTGCTGGGGATGCTAGAGATCCTGCACTGTTGGGATTGGACTTAGGACTTCATCACATTGATGAGGTCCCCCGTGCTGATTCGCCAACCTCCATGGCGAATCGGCTGGGCAGTGGGGCAATCCCGGCACCCTGTGCCTCACCCAACCAGCAGTGACACTTCCCCTTCATATGTGAAGAAGCATCATCACATGGCTTGTCCCTGCAGTAGCCCCATTGTTCCAAATGGAACACAGGGAGGATCCCGTGTTGAAGGTGCAATGTCCTACCATGTTGATACCCTAGTTAAGCAATGGAGCCCTGCTGGAAGGGGGCTACATCATGTGATGGGGGCATGGGGCTCCATCGCTCAACTGAGGCAAAAGCATCCTAGGATGCAAAAAAAATCTCGTGTGATGAGGCCCAAAATGGCTGATGAAGCTCCTTCCAACTCAGTGACCTGTGAGTTTATTATTCTAATAATTAAATAAAACTTTACTAAATTGAAAGTATTAAATCAGCGAGAACCACTTAAACTCAGAGACATTATTAGCAAAAAAAAAAAAAAAAAAAAGAGGCTTGGCTAAGGGTTTCCAGAAATGTACTGGTGCTGATTCCAGCAGACAATGTGATAGCCCTATCTTGGAGGATCGTGGCCCCTAGATCTTGAAGCAGGCCTCGCAAGTGAGGATCTTTGGCGGTGGGTTCCCTACCTATCACTATCACTCAACGCCAACCTTAAAAACTGTGGCATAGACACTGAGAACTGGGAAGCCCTGGCCCTTGAGCGCTCTAGCTGGAGGTCAGCTGTGACCAGCAGTGCTGTAGAATTTGAAGAGGCATGAATGGAGGACAAGAGAAACATGCCAAGAGGAAGGTGTGTCAAGCCAACCCCGACCGGGACCGCCTTCCATCTGGAAAGTAATTTACATATACGCCACCCTCACTAGCCTCATTGCTTCATACAACCTAATCACACAGATGAACCCCCATCCATCCGTCTCCCATGCCGTTTCACCAGCCTCTGGGGCAAAACGGCAGGGATGTGGAGCAGTAGTGAGGGTGAAGCAGCACCCAAGCGGTGCTGAAATGTGCTGGCTCCATTGGAGCCAGCATATCATGGGAGTTTTCCAATGTTATGAGGAAAGCATCTTATTACACTTCAACAGGAAGTCCAAGAACATCCTGTGATGGCCAGCATGCCCATCTGTTGCTGTACTGTCCCTTTAACATCCTGGAACACTTAATAAAGGTAAGTGTGATGGGGTCCTTACTTACTCCCGATGACATTGCTAGCAGCAGGCAACTTGTTAAAGGTTTTTAAATAAACAACATCATTTATTTATTTATGTATTAATTTACGACATCTCACCCCGAAGGGGACTCAGAGCGGCTTACAAGTAATATGTGAATATAATATATTATATTATTACCATAGCACAATATTAATATTATATATTACTCTATTGTACTATATAACACTACAGTGTAATATTATTAGTAATATTACATATAATATAAAATATATAATTATAATATCATATTATTAGTAGTATTATATTTTATTACATCATGCAGCAGCCCAAGGCTTGCACTTTTCAACCTACTTGTTATCACTGGCAAGTCTGTAGTAAAATAAGGAAATGGCTTGTGCTGTGTACAGAAGAAGAGATACTGGAAGTTTTTTGAAAGATTCAGGTCTGATAGAGAAGGAATGTGTGACTGAAACTCTGAAGTTCACTGGAAATTGAACAAGTAAACTGGACCTGAAATGAACTAGTGTCGCACCTACACTGTTTAATGAGTGTAGTTTGATACCACTTTTAACTGCCATGGCTCAATGTAAGAGTTGTAGTTTGACAAGGTCTTTATTAGCCTTCTCTGTCAAAAGGTAGTGGTGCTTAATCAAACTACAAATCACCTTTAAAGGCAACATCCAGAGTCACAATTGGACAGTAAAACCTTTAAGTAAATTTACTTTAGCTTTGCAATATAAGCAAACACAGCTCAGCAAAGTTGGACAAGCAGCACTGACCTGACAAGGACTTTTGCAAGCTGCGGTAGAAGGTCAATCTGCGCTGTGTGCTGGACAGAAATTGAACCGGTATCATTGACAAAGAAAAATACTCCTGCTAATTTTCTGCCTATCATGTACTTGTTCAATCCTCTAACCAGGGAGAAAAGGGAAATTCATGTATTTTGGTCAGAATGTGTCTTATGTTTAAGGGCACGAGAACGTGATGTAATGAACATTTGAGAGTCCGCCATAGATGCCAGAAGAGTGTACACAGGTGTAGGTAGATATGTACACAGGTGTATCTGATAACAGGACCTGGCATCAGTGGAATAGCTGTAAACATTTGGTGCAGTACAAAACATCCAGACAAATTGTTTCTTTATTTAAACTGGCATAAAAGTGGAAGAACTCCTTTGACTTCCAGGCATGATTTTCCTGGAGATGTAGTCAGTCAAATGTTCGTATGTGCGTGCAGGTTTTACAGAAATATCTAGTTGTTTAAGACAAAAGCTGCACATACTTTACTTACTTACTTAGGCGATCCCTTGTAGCCTGAGGATGATGGTCCCCCAAGTCTGATGTCTTGGCAGTGGGTTCATAGGTGGCTGTGGAGCCCTATTCTTGATCTGCATGTTCTCCTGCAGTAAGAACATCGGTTTCGAGGTGGAAGGCAGTCCCGGTCAGGGTTGGCTGGACATGCCTTCCTCTTGGCACGCAAGTAAAAATGGAAGAACTCCTTTGACATCCAGGCATGATTTTCCTGGAGATGTAATCAGTCAAATATTCGTACGTGCATGCAGGTTTTAAATAAATATCTAGTTGTTTAAGATAACA